TTATTAGTCTCTGTTTCTGAAGATGGATCCTTAGTTAAATCATCCCCCATGCCAATGTTGGAAACATATCGCCTAAAAGTTCGTTGTCGTTGAACATAATTTTGCTTTCCTAATAATTTCCTATCTGTAATTTTGGTGGAAGGGGTAACTGAAATTTTAGTCACCACTTGTTTACTTGAATCTGCCATATTGTAATTAAGTCACCAAAGAATTCTATAATAACTTTCCAAAGTCACCACTGTTCAATAAACCCAAATCACCAAATGCACACTTCAAATCCAAACAAATGTAGAACAAAACAAACAACACTGGAACCCACAATAAAATCAAATCCAAAATAAGAAGACAATCTTATCATCAATAAAAAATGCTAACTAAAATCAGACAAAGCACCAACACATACCACCCGAATGGACATAAAAAACTAGTCAACCCACTCAGATATTACTGAAAATAGAGCCGAGAAGATTCGTTGAAAATACAGGAGATTAGAAGAGTCACCGGAATCACAGGAGATCGTGGAATCATAGGAGAATGTAAGAAGAATCAACAAAAGTCACCGGAATCACAAAATAATAGTCCCCGGCCGCTGAAATCACAAAGAGAGACTAGACTAGAGATTGTTGGCCGCCAAAATCACATACAATGATAAGAAACAAGATTGCCGGTTGCCGGAAAAGTTAAAATGGAAATTGAATCAGAATAGTACCAAACCCTAGCTCTGATACCATGTTCGTAAAATTGGTACTCACACTATTCATTTCATAATAAAAAATGTAATATACAACCTAATATATTTACTTATATCATAATTACATATATGCCCTCAATCTATCTACATTATTTCTATCATATATAAAAGTAAATGATTTAATACATTTAAAAGATTGATTTGATAATAGTAACATTTAAAAGATTGATTTGATAATAGTAAGATTTAACAATTTTATCAATTTAATTCAATAATCACTCATGGTATCAAAACAACAACCACAATAATTATAGACTAATGAGAGGAAACTTCTATGGATTTAGGTTGACTATTATGATTATGAGCGTCCTAACATTCACAATAATGCTATATATACATATCTAGTAGTAAACGATAGTATAATGTCATATATATTAACAATAATGCTATATATACATAATTGATTCGATAATATCTTCTTAATATATTAAGATAAATTTAATAATTTATCAAACCATTTGTCACATAAATTAGGATATAAATTTAAAATACGAATTTTGTATAAGTGATATGATTCTATGTATTTAGAATTATATTATTGTCATTGATTGTGATTATCCCCCATATTTAGGTGTTCATGTCTTGAGATGTTAACAAACAAATATTTGATTTTAAGTTTATAAGCTAGGTATTTGAAAGTAATGGGATGTGGTATTAAAATTGATTGGAAGAGTTGAAAAATTGTTTTGTAAAGCATGAGCATTTTGGAAATCGATTGAAGTATGGAATTTGAAATTATTTATTGCCTTTAAGAGTTTTTTATTTTTATGAAATGTATATATTTATATTAGAGTATTATGTATTATTATTGTGTCATCCATATTAAAATGACAATAATTTGTGAGGAGTTACATGTTTCGGTTGAAGAAGACAAACAAAGATTCGTATAAACCTATTCATTAACATACGTGAACCAATGCTTTTATATCCGGACCAAGCCTTGAATTGGTCAAGGGGCCATCCCCAAGTTGATTGGTCTGACCGTCAGGTCGGACCGGTGACGTTAGTATGAAACCCTATTATGAAAATTAACATACATACCCCTAAAAATTATGCATAAATCCTTACATGTTTGAAATCCAACAAACACGCCTCTACGATCTGGCCAGGAAACTCTAGTCGTCGCAATTGCAATCCACCCCAAATCAGCCCAACGTTGGACAAACCACCACAAAGCCACCACGAAAACCCTTATCCACCATAAAACACCACAAACATACAAATCCCTATTTCAACAAACACATAAATCATCTATGCCAAAATGAATTAAACAATCAAAAGGAAACGAAACCAAAGCAATGAAAGCAAAGTTGTGATTGGGAGTTGTGACAGCAACTTATAGGAGAATCAAAGATTAAAGTAAAGTAAACTTTGGTGGATGCCGGATGGGCGAAGGTGAACTGGCGAAGTCGCGTTGTTATGGTTGAGTAGCGGTGAAGAAAGGGACCCAATTTAGTATGTCTTGGGGGTTGAACCGTGGGTTAGTACTGTTCACACTGGGTCAATCCCGGGCTGATCCGGTTTAAAGGCAAAACCAAGTTAAATCATGTAATCGACCCAATTAGAGTCTGGCTACTGGTCGAATCAGTCGGTCCAGTTTGAGTTTTAAAACAGAAAGGTGAACTATTGGTAATTTATAATTAACTAGTTTGGTTTAGGATCGTTGCAAAGGTTATTTGGTTTAACCCACAAAAATTAGGTCAATTTAATTAATATATATTTTTGTCTTCTGTTTTTAAAACCTCCATAAACTAAATGTATATAGTATGCTTATACATAAAAAATGAGTTAAATTAGCGTTATTACATTAAGTTTCACAAACTTAACCTTCAAATTAAAATTATTTTAGTGAAATATGAAAGAAAATTGTAAGTTATACCAAACTATACAATATAAAATCCTAATTGACTTTAGAGACGAATAGTATGAATTGGGAATAGGGAGTCAAAAACGAGGGGCTGTACTTGATTGTACATTCTTGTCTTTTTCATCTTTGACTGACTGTGACTTCCCTCAACGTGTATCCGTTCCTGCCAACAACTCCTATTTCATCATCTCAAACTCCAATCTAACGGTCCACACGCTCTGTTGACTGTTGACTCATCAATGCCTCGGTACTGGTAATTACAAAGTAGTCAACAGTTCAATCCTCTCAATCGCTTAGAGAATCCATTGTATTTGTACACCTTCTATAACACGTTATTTATATATTTTTTCGATTAAATTATTTTACATACAAGTAATATCTTTTAGGAATTTTTGGTTAAATTAATAATTTTTGGGTTTTAGTGTAGTTTTTAATCGAGTAATAGCACTTTTTTTTTTAAACTAAAGTAGCGTGTCATTTTATATAATTATAAGATATTGATCTGATGGTTAAAGAGGTTTATTCATTTTTTTAAATTCTTGGGTTTAAACTTTGAAATCACTTATCTACCACAATAATATTATGATTTATCTGACCTTTTAAACTTATAAGGTGTTTAATAGATCTTTGAGATTAATTGAAGTATATATAAATTGACCTGAACATTTCGATTACAAAAAAAAAAAAAATTATCTTATGAGATATTGACTATATAAATATAGCATGTTAATTCTTTTATACATTCAAACCACGTAACACTACATATTATTTACGAAGAGAAATTTGATATTATTTTGAGAAGTGTTATGTTGTTCTTTCTTATTTGTAAACTATTTTGACTCTAAAAAATTGATAAATGAATTAATTTATTGATAAATGACGTGTTTATAGAATTCATAATTGGACAATTTAAGAACAAATTTTCGGAGGTTAAATGAAGAGGGATTTAATAAGTGTTTTTTTTTTTTTTTTTTTTTGGTGATCATATTAAAATGGTCGTGTAGGTGAGAGAGTGGGGGAGGTTGTTGACCTAGAATTTGTTGGAAGAATAGAGAAGAGTTGGGTCAAAAAGAGTGATGACGCGTCCATTGACTCGACGTGTCATTGTCACGAGTCATGGGTGTGTTATCTTTAACAGAAACCTTTGTCGTTTTATGATCTCATGCTTGCATTTGCACTGTCGTCATACTCTCTCTCTTTGCGGGTATTTTTGTCATTTGTAATACACATATAAATTCTACCCAATACGTGTGTAATTTATATGAATTGTCTAAATAAGCCAATCCTAGGATCCCCCCAGTACCATCACCGGGTTAGTTATCACACGTGTCAGAATCCTTTACACCCCATCTTGTTGAATCAGTTTACCATCTTAAAATTACTTTTTGGGTGTGTTTCTTTTACTATTTGGAATAGTATTTTTGAAATAATAAAGAATTGAGTGAAAATAATAAGACAAGTTTTAAAAATTAACAAAAATATCAATCGGTTTATTAATTTATTAAACATCCTTATAATAAAAATATTAAAAATTATAAAAACATCCCCACCTATCAATTAAATACCGATAACCGATCATCATTGTTAGAGGGTGACCGAAGTTATTGTATCAATACACAACCGGCTAGATATGACTGATCATACACTGAGATGACTTTTTCCAACTACATCTACCGTGGATCTAACCCGAAAAAGACCAGATTTACGACTAGATCTAACCATTGACGATCAAATCTGGCCACGCTTGGTCGTTAACAATAGCCATATCTTGGTCGTCGTTGACGACTAGATATGACTATAGATCTTTAGCTGTAGATTTGACATTTTCTAACCAGATCCACTGTAGATATAACTAAAAAATGCTATATCAACGCACTACCGGCCAGATCCAACTAATAGTACGCCATTATACTATATTTCAACTACCTTCCGACGGTGGTGACCATCAGGCAAATTAGGTAGTGGAGGTGTTTTTGTCAATTTTTAAACTTTTTTTAGGGGTGTTTAATTAAATTAACAAATTAGAGGATTTAAAAAATAATTGAATAAAATATAATAGTATTTTCAAAATAGGGAAACAAATGTGTATTTTGAAAATAGTAGGAATAAGATAAGGAAAAATATATTCAAACGAATAGAATAATTATATTTATAATAATTATTAGTTGAAATTAAACTATATTTTGAATAAAAAATTGAAAATTACCTAAGATTAAAATTTCTTAAAATAAACAAGTTGTGCTCATAAATTGCTGTCCCATTAGGAATATATCCTCTCAACAACAAGAGCCTCTAATAAAAAAATTAATCTAACAAAAATCATGCAAGTGTAAGTATTCCTCAGTGGTGGATGCAATGCAATTCATTCAAAGTTTGTTTAATGTTCACATCATATAAACCAATTCAGAATAATGAAAATAAGTACAATAATCTACAGTTTCCCGGTCCCACGTCTTTTGCATCAACAAATCTCTATATGAGGATTGATGGAGTAATTGTTATCTTCCGGCAAAATTGAATTGACTGCCTGTTCACCACAAATACACAGCAATGAAATGGATGGAGGACTTTACACTACAATATTTTCTTATGCCAATTGGAGCCAGAAAATTTTGTCTATGCAAAAACATCAAGTTCAAGACAATCAAATGAACAACAAATATCAGGGTGTCTTTTTGGTTGGTTCTTGGTGAGGCACCATGAATGAAGATCCAACAATCCATAGTCAAAGCATCCATCAAAAAACAAGGCAGAAGTTCAATCAAGCATTTCAAGATATTTGAACTTTGCCACCAAAAACAGAAATCATGGATAATAGTTAAGAGGATCACAGCATGAGTCTTGCAGTTTCATGAACTAAAAACAAACCTATTTTGGCAGGACTTCTTTGTGAGCTTTAAATGAGAGAATCACATTCCAAACTAAAGCAACAACATTAGCAGCAAGGACCTGAAATTAATGCCATAAATGAAAAAAAAAAAGTCATGTCAAATAATCAAAACACGACTGATAAAACAAGACACAGAAAGATACCTTAGTTATGAATGGTGAAACTTCACAAACGAATAATATAGATTTCTTAATATGGTCAATAGATACTTATTTAGCACGCATCATAGAACACAATGTCAGACAGAACCAACCGCTAAGGCCACCTTTGGAAAGTAATTCTGCTAATTTACTTCAATTGAAAGAAAGAAGACAAAAGGTAGGCATATAGTACCTAGTAATATCCTAATAATGAGTCATTAAAGCATACAATAATACCTCTCCTTTACATTAACCAATCTAATCATATCCCAAATCAGACAATCTGAAAGATATATTGCCAGCAAGAAACTTAACATTTAGTATTTCAAGGGTAAATTATGGCCAAAAAAGTGTATGCTACTGTACAAACAACTCCTTATGCGCTTTTTGCCATTCATAATCATACCTGGAATTGCTGTGGCACAAACCGAAAGTTCAGAAATTGGAAAGGTATCCACAGTTGCCAATTAGCAAGAACAGAAGGAAACCACTCCTACAAAATGAAAGTACAATAGTATACAAACAAAACAAAATAAGAAATTAGTAAATAAACAATGCTTCTAATAAGCTACGCTCAAAACTTAATAGAATGTATGAAAAGTAAAGAAAACAAATGTAATGCTTTTTCACTACCTGTTGAAGTTTGGCTACAACTTGTCCTGGCCTTCCCTCCAGTGTTAGCAGCGTAGATAAGAAAACTCCAATGAATATGGGAGAAAAAATGAACTGCAATAAATTTGCATCGCATTCAAAGACATATTTCAAGAAGAGTAATACAATCATGACGCAACATCATGTATAATCACGAAATTTGAAAATTCAAAGTGAAATTTGAGTCACCTGATCAAGAAGAAGGCGCAAGAATGCACCTGATGCTCCAGGCAATGTCACCAATTTACTCAGATACAAATACCTACAAACAGCCAAGTTATTACTCAGATACAAATACCTACAAAAGGCCAAGTTATCTTAAGGAAAGATAAAAGAAATCCAAGAGCATAAACAATTTTTTGATGAGTTCCTAAATGTCTCGATTTTCATCCAATGATCTAATGACATCAAAAAAATTATAAAGAGATGATTACAAAAACATATATAACTGAAACGTTCAAGATTATTTAATAATTGAAGCATTAGACACGGTGCATCAAAATAGCATTGATTATGGAAGAAATTAGAACTGCTGTTACAATACCAAACAATAGCTGAAGAGCAGGAAATATTCTGTAATTATAAAAACAAATCAGAAGCAGACAAAGGTTATATCCAGGGAATACCAGAAATGCAATGTGGGACCCACTAACACAAGGCCCAGCAGAGTAAATAGGAATGTCCTTTTCAGGTCCAATGTTGCAACTTGATCAATCCAAAGCTGAGGCAACAATGTTTGAATTCAGTAAAGTCATACTTAAAATTGTGACATCATGATGACAAGAAAAAAAAGCTAAGAAAGCAAGTTCCACAATAGCCATCCAATTTAAATCAGTTATGAAAGGCAATCACATCTACTAAAACTTGCAATACTTTGTTCTAAACATTAAATAACAATGAATTATCACTGGCTCCACCCTGTTGTCCAGATTTTTAACATAGTATGTGAAATATGACCTAGTTTATGTGATATAACAGACCTACATATCTGAAGTTGATATGTCAAATACGGTAGCATCACCCTGCTTCTAGAGTCAGTATAAACTATACTGGCTCAGATAAATGTAGGATCATGAGGGCTATTTTCAAAAGATTACAACTTATCTCCAAACCAAAAGGACAAAAGGAGAGAATATGTGATGGGGTCAAAAAAGGGAGAGAAAGGAAGAAAGGAGAGAAGGACTAGAAGAATAGAAAGGGGATAAGTGATAGAAGAACATAAAGGGGAGAAGATAGAAATTGGGGGGAGAAAGTTTATTGTCAATTCATAATTCAAGTCATCGTACAATAATGATTTTGGCTTTAATTTATATAGCCAAATCAAATAAAATAAGGAAATAAATAACTAGTAAATGAAATAACTCTATGGGTGCGTTTGGTTCAGAGAATATTGGATTACTGGGAATGTTATATTAATAGAAAATTAAATTATCTAGAAGATTACTGTGAATTTTTGGGAAAACGTGTTTGGTTAGTTTGAATAAATTGGTGGGTATGTTATATTAAGATGTTTGGTTGGAAGGAATAAATTGGTGGATATGTTATTTAAATTACTAAATTGCATATAATATTATTTTTATTATTAATTTTTGAATAGTTTCTTTTAATCCCTAACATTTCAGATTTAGCTAAAACACCTCAACTTATATAAAATTTTAATTTATAACAAAATCACTCCCACCACCCCAAGCCATTGCTAGGCACTGCCATCCACCGTCAAAAGTTGCTGAAAATCGACGAGAATCACCGAGAGGCTTCGATATGACCATTTTTGGCCATCAATATGGCCATATCGGAGCCTCCCGACGATTCTCGACGTTTCCCGGCAATTTCCAGCAACTTCTGACGGCGGTTGGTGGTGGTGGCTGGGTGGCAGTGGTGGTTCACAATTTGTTTTAAATATAAGAGTATTATTGTCCAAAAATTTAATTAAACAAGGGTAAAATTGTAATGGTAGATTAATGTAAATTGATTTTAAAATAAGGGCATTATTAATAAAAAATTTATTAATAAGGGATAAAATTGTAAAAAAAAAAAAGATACCCAAGTAATCTTACAATACCTAACAAAATAGAGGTTATCAGATTACCTCAAATATTATCAATAGTAACTACTATAGGGCTGTTTGGATCGGGGGTATATAAGATAACTGGGGTAATCTTCGTTTATTTTGTAAGATTTCGGTGTTTGGTTTGCAAGTAATAAAATATTACAGTAATCTTTTATTGCAAATAGTGTTTACTGTTGATAATGTGAGGAGTAATCTTATTACCTAGTTAGGGGGTGTTATTAAAACATTACTAGGGTAATCTGATTTTTCTACCCATTTTTCCCTTAATTAAAAATCATTTCGAACACAATTGCCTCAAATGTCTACCAAATAACAATTAGCCCAACCCCCTTATATTTGAGAAATTAGCTAAAACACCCCAACCACAGAATGGTTCAAAACTTAACAAAATACTTCCAATCACCCAAGACCACCGCCGACCATGACTCACCATCGTCGGCTTCAGTCACCATAATGGTGCACGACAGGTGGGATCTGGCCGGTCGTACGCCGATAAGGCCTTTTCCGATCCATGGTTGGCGTTTCTATGATTGTTTCACAGCCAAAGATGTGGCCGATCTGGCCTTTTCACGACCAGATTTGTGGCTATTTCACAGCCACATCTTTGGCCGTGAAATAGCCATAGATCTAGCCGTTTTCTGGCCATGGATTTGTGATCCATGGCCATTTTCGGCTTTGCCAACGCACGGCCGACCATATATGGCCAATTGTGCGCCATTCCATCGACTGTTAACGGCGGCCAACGGTGGTTGTTGGTTGTTGGCAGTGGCTTGGGGTGGATGGGGGTGATTTTACTACAAATTAAAGTTTTATATGGCTGTAGTGTTTTAGCAAAATTTCAAATGTAGGGGGTTAAAAGAAATTATTCAAAAAATAATAATAAAAAATACTATTATATTAATATTTAAAAAGAAAGGCAATTTAGTAATCTATATAACATGCCCACCAATTTATCCTCCCAACCAAACATATTATTCACCAATTTATTTAAACCAACCAAACACATTTTCTAATCATTCCTAGTAATCTTCAAGGTAATATTTCTTTCCATTAATATAATATACCCCTATAATAAAACATTATATGATCCAAATGCCCCCTGTTGGTATTGGAAGATTACCAGAATCATATATCACTTGACAACCAAACGTGGTAATCAAGTAATATAAGATGACATAACATCAGTAATCTCATATAACCCCCAACCAAACGCCCCCGATAAGAGGAAATTAAATCTCCCCATAAGAGGAAAGAAGATCAATCCAAACAAAAAAATCTTCTTTTATTTAAACTAGGAAAGAAAATAAAAACAAATCTCAGAGATTACAATAGATCCCTAATATCTTTAGGCTATCCTACATCAATATGTATCATGACATCCATGAACACGTGCCTCCATGTTTTACAAAAAAGGAAATGAAAATCCACATGGCACTAGAATAAGGAACTAACATGTGAACAACAATTCTATTGAGAAATGATATCAAAACAAAGGCATCCTAATTGAATAATTTTGTAAAACTTACAACTAGCCCTGTAAAATTGTGTTGTGCAAGTGTATCAGGAAAGTTTCAGCCCATTTGGCACAATCATGCCAAGCCAAGCTATGACAACAATAGCTCTCTCTTTGATGTTAAAGAGAGAGACAAAACATGCCTACTTTTCTGAACTCTCATTTACATAGCCTACTACCAAAAGAGTTTCATTCCATAAATAGTTCAAATTTCATTTCAATTGCTTAAGACACTCAATTTACTTCAAATATTGAATATGTTCATTCTCAAAACTCTGTTTCTCTTGTATTCTCTTTCACTTTTAGTCACTACTTCATATTTGCAATTTCATTTCAACTTTCAAGATTACATGTTAAAGTTGAAAGATGTTATAAGTTGCCTTTATGTTTGCTGCTATTGTTGTGGTTTTGTTTGATTTATATACCTTCCATGTAAGAGCATTCTAGAGCTTAACTAATTATGTCAAGACCTCACCAAGCTTAAGCTTTCATGTCAAGTGGTAACTCAGTAGACAACAAAGCTTAGAACTAGTCTTTCCATAATGAAGAAATCAAGCACACCCAACTCGAACAATTAAAAAAACTATATTTTTTAGTTTCTCCTCTTCCTTCTAGGTGGGGTGGGCAACAAGTTTTCGGGAGGCTATTGAAGAAATAAGACAGATTTTTTTCTTTTTAATATATATTGATTCTATACCACCATGTATTAAACGTTGCCCCTTATAATGGTTAACAGCTATGGAATTTTTCTTTTTGGTAAGTGCTATGGAATTTTTTTTTTTTTTTTGGTAAGTGCTATGGAATTACTGGCTATTAACTTACTTCATTACCATCAAATCATTTATAAAAAGTCTCCTGTTCATTTTAAGACCATCAAATCATTTCTAAAAAGTCTTCTGTTCATTTTGAGGCCAGCAACATGAACCTTATATACAAATTCAATCTTTTCTAAAATACAGAATGCAGACAATGTAGGAATATACTCCTAACTCCTAAGCAACCAAACAACTTATTTACCCACACAAATAAATTCACAAGGATTTTTGTAGTAATTTCCTATCAAGTAATGGGTGAAAAGATAAAGGTAAAATGATATATATTAGAAGGTGCCATAAATCCCGATAGTAACAAAGCTGAAATAGCTTATGAAATCATGCCATATATGGAACTTTATCAACTTATACAAATTTCAAAATAATAACCAGATGAAGTGCATGATAATACAATCAACACAACATGAAAAACAGTTAAGCACTAAAAAATAAAACTTGAACAATAGAAACATATTTGCATTTAAGTAAAGTCCACCTGGCAGATTAAGTCTCCAATCAAAGTCAAAAGTGCAGATGTCACCGCTTTTGTTGACACAGGATGCTTTGCAAGAAGAGCCAAATACCTACAATGATATAACAGGATCATGTTTTTAGTAATGGGATTTAGGAACAGAGAAAAGAGTAAAAACGCATGCACACACCCAATGAACATTGGAAACAATTTTTAAAAAGGAGAAGAAAAAGAGTATAAATATTCATTTTACCCTTATAGTACATATAAAAATGAAATACCAAAATAAACTAACTTAGAAAAAAGATAGCAGCATTTTAAAATATTAGCCCCTCCAAAAAGACACTAATCATCATCATAAGAGATCATTGCTCTAATGTGATGACCACAATATGGGATCCTATAAACTAAAGCAAAACCAAAATGCTTCATTCAGCTGAAGGGCATATATGTGTAACTACTCATCCTTTGTGAGTGATCAATAACCAATAAAGTTATATGTCCAAAACTATGAAAAGCTCCAACTCTTTTACTTCAAATTTGACATCACATCTGGGAATTTCATCCGGTGCAGTGCATACTTCTCATTCATTTAAAAATTAAGTAGTCTGCTAGTAATCCGAGCAATCAGCAAAAAAAAAAAAAAAAAAAAAAAAAAAAAAAAAAATGGCCTGCCAAATAACTCAACTGCCTCAAAGATTAAAAATACCGATAGACTTAACATCCTAATAAAGGCTAAGCCGTCAGAAATGTAAAGGCTAAGCCGTCGAAAAAACAATCAACCCAGATAGACTTAACATCCTAATTTTAAAAGAGTTTAACTTTCACATTCAAAAATCTCTTGTAAAAAAACTTAACATGAAAAAACTTTAAGAATCAAAAACTCAAAGCAAAGTACAAAACAAAATAGAAGAAAAAACCCAAAAAACTTTACCATGAAAGGAAGGACCAATTACTCCCGCCACCACTAGCACCAGAACCACCACCTTCACTTCTTCCACCACCAGAATTGCCATCACTAGAACCTCCAAAACCACCCCCACCACCAGCTCCACCTGGGACACCTTCCGCAGCCGCTGAAAATCGGAGAGAATCAAAACCCAGTTGCCCAAATCCCATTTTGGAACTACCCAGCGACTTAAACCCAGTTCCATGACCAAAATTCAGAGAACGTGTAGAACAGCCCCTAAAAACGCTTATTTGAACTGGGTTTACGGGAACTCGAATTTGTTGGCCAAACTGGGAGATGGGTTTGAGGGAGGGGCCCAGAAAACGGTACAAGAGTGGAGATTTGCGGGTGAGAGATACAGGGTTTACCACCATTTTATTATTGTTTTTGGGGGTTTAGCTTCACAGGAAGCAGAAAAGTCGGGGTTTTTGAAAGGTTTTGGGACTCTCAAACAATTCCTTCAAAACGGGCTATCCATAATTTTACTTGTAAAAATTACCACCCTTTTTGTACTTTTGTGGCATGAAAGCAGATTAGATATAAATAGTGCTCTTTGTTATTATCTTTAATAGTATTTTTTATTTTAAAGATCATATTTTATATATTTTATATAAGAGTATTTGTATTATTTTTCAAATATAAAAAATAAAATTTTATTTAAATCCAATACACTCATTAAATTTAATAAAGATATTATTTATTTTCGAGACAGAAAGTTAATAGGAGAAAAAATTAATATATAAAAACTTGCAATTTATTAATTAAAATTAGGATAGAGAGTGAAATTTGACTCTCTAAATCTAGAGAGTCAAATTCATTCTTTAATTTATATTTAAAGAATAAAGAGTCTGTTAGATTTTTGTTTTTATACATAAATTCTTTATAATAAAGAGTTCAAGTCATATAAAAAGTCTTTTGAAGATGCTCTTAGACTCTGAAATTTGATTAATTAATTAGTTAATTACAGAAAATAATAAGGTTGCATTTGGTTCCGACAATGATTTAATAAAATAAAGATAGGATTATCAATGGGAAAAATAAACTTGAAGATTAATGGATATAAATTATTTTTGTGTTTGGTTTGTGTAGGCTGTATAAATAATTAATATGTTTAATTGACAGTAATTATAAAGTACTTAGATATTATACTGAAATACCCTTTACAAGATTAGTGGGTATAAATTAATACCATTTGAACATTTTCCCTAATTTTATTTCACATTTTGGCTTGTTCTAAGTCAAATTTGCCTGGAAAAAGAAGAAGAAACCCAACCGCATCCATTGCCATAATCTGCCAGATTCTAGTGTTGTTAACGGTCCACAACACCACCCACACACTCCCCACAACTCCACTATCAAAAGCCCCCACACCCCTCACCCTCTTGGCTCACCATTCGTCGGCCATTGTTCTGGTTGGATTTGCAGTTCTCGTGTAATTCCAACGGTGTCCCATGGTTGGAACCCTGTTCGACACCATCACTCAAACCACCATCCCTCATACTCCAAAAACCCCATCAAACCAGACTCCAATCGCCACCGATCTTGCCTTCCCCATCTAGGGTTTCCTTTTCTTTGTGGTTATTTTGGTTGTATTCCTAGCCGTCGGCAAAGCCTAGATCGCCCAAATTTCATTTATCTTCGACCACCCAAATTTGCTTAGGAAATTCTGGGTTAGGGTTTCTAGTAGTTCTCTAAAAAATGAGGGGCTTTTTTGTCCAAATAATTAATTAATGATGTTAAAAAAGTCGGTTAGCAAGTTGGGTTAATTGTTATTTGACATCAATAGGAGAGCGTTTGTACTTTGAATTTTTATTAAGGGTAAAATTGGAACAAAAATAGGATTACTACGGTAATATTAAAATAACATTCTATGAGTCGGTAATCACATAACCTCTCTCGTATTACCTGAGTAATCAAAGATTACCAAAATCTTGTATTACCTGATGAACCAAACAAGGTAATGATCAGATTATCAAGGTAATCTTCTTAGGGTCCTAACTATATGCAACCTAAGGGTATGTTTAGATTCACATATTCCATTAGACATGCTTACTTTCGTAGGATTTTGTATATGTAATATTGTGTTTTGTGTAACAATACATTGGAGATGATTTTTATACAGTTTAAAATGGATAGTCTTTAACAAACTTTGTTTTGAAAACGACCATAAAGTTTACATTGAACAACAACAATAACAAATAGTCTATTTTAATAAAGTCAATCAAGCTTCTTACAAAAACTAATCATAAGGTAACAACCTTGTAATCAATATAAATCACGTCCCTCTTAACACAAGTAAACAACAATCACATAACACATAGCCTAAAGATGGTTTACCGTAAAAGTGGTTGTGGGGTGTTAGTTTGCTGCATATTAGTAGCAATCCTTTTGGTTAGCTGTGAGGACTATTATGAGCTGCAAGAGTGTCAAGAACAATGTGAAGCACTGCTCATCAGAGACTTTGATTGTGCCGGTTGGTGTTATTCCACATTTTCGTTCATGTCTTCTCGTCATTATTAAGAAATCATGGTATGTTTGCACAAAGAAACACCAAATTATTTTATCATACTCTATCTTTTATTATCAACAAATCATGTGATTCATACTGTTCTTTGTATCATAGCACCAATTACTGTGCATTTCTAATAAAAAAACCGTTACATTACGTTTTTCATTCTTCTTCTATGTATATATAGGATGTCAAATTCTCTAAAAATATATGCATTCCATGAATTATATATGGAGTTTCAGTATACAACAACTGTCTGGTTACAAACTACATGGTAGTAAATTTATGGTTGGTTGACAAAGATAAATATATATAATTATTGAAAATACAAAGTTTTAAAGCTTCATGCCCCTTGACAACCAAGTTCTTCAAATGAAAATCAAAGTTAAATACATAGCAATCCAACACAATAATTAATAATTCTTAATTTCAACCAATACAATGAAAAAAAAGAAAGAGCAAATAACAAAGTAATGAGAAAAATAATTAATCGTTCTCATAAGTGTACGAATCGAACAAATAATAAAGTAATGAGAAAAATATTGTTCTCACAAAGATTTTCCAACTTATTAAGTACTGGAATAAGCTAACTCTAGATTTATTTGAAAAAATTAATTAAAGAAGACTTAATTTTAGAAAACTTAAAGAAATCAAAATAAACTAAAAAGCAATTTATAAAATTCAAATGTATGAAACATTAGAGCATGGATTTCATCATAACCATTCCAATTTAATTCCCTAATTCATGCTATTAAAGAATATTACCCATGTTGACAGTCGAAAAACCCTAATTCTTTTGATATAATATTTCTAATATAATACCAAAAATACACTCACACATTAATTCACTATATCTCTATATGATTTAAAATATATGAACACTCATTAAGATCAATGGTAATTCATAAATTGACTACACAAGTCATGTTAGTACATCTCTATCTCTTATGTAATTTATGACATTCATTACAAAGAGTAAAACACATAAATCACCTCCCAGTCTCAATACAGTTCTCAAGTCAATTAAATATTAGCTAGATATATTTAAATGCATTAAACACAGTTTTAAACACTTAACATGGAAAAATAAACTTTAAATAACACAAAATCATAGAATTAAATCTTCATAATTAGGCCACATTATAACCCTAATTAACATAGAAAAATTAATTCATCATAAGATTAAGAGAAACTACAAACATATTCATCGTTATAGAATAAATTGAAAAGTAAAAGAAAATAAGAAGAGAAATCCTCAAAGTCAGCAAAGCCAAAGAAGTCTCTCTTTTCCTACACGCCAGTTTGCTGTACTCCAATTTTTGCGTTATTTTTTCTCTTCTATCAATTTGTATGAAATTGAAAAGTAGCTTTATATAAGTTAGGTAAAATAAAAACTTAATTCTTTATAAAATAAGAATTATAAAAAGACTTAAAATTCAATCTTGTAAGTTTCTTTTGAATGTTTGAAATTTAGGTGGTAGCAAGGCTTTGAATGTGGTGGCCAGAAATCAAGTTCAGGTCTCTCTGTTCAGGTATTGTAATCCCTTTGTAATGTGCATTCATATAAAGCACAATAGGTGTTTTGTTAGCTCATGTATATCATTAATGGAAATATTGCAGTGCTTTACATGAGAAAGATCAGAAATACCAAACGTGGGAATGTCTCGCAATCACTTTTTTGTTATTGTCATGGTCAGCGGTTTAACTTTGTCTTGCCAGGCTATTTGTTTACTATATATGTTGACATCAATATCCTTGGTTCTGATGGTTGGCTCCTAAGTCTGCTCTAGTCCACCATTTGGGTTCAGGGGCGAAACGATTTGGAGTCGTTTCCATTGGAATTGACTGGTCTACAATTTCAGTGTATCTTGGGAGTCCTTTCTCTAGTCAATGGTTTGCCACTGCCAATGTTGCTGTCGGTCACTGCCTTTTTATATATCTGTTGATACTTGATACCATCCTCTTAATGGTTCAATCTCTACAGAGCCAAGAACTTCCCATACATTCGCAAAATCTTTTCATGGCGAATGGTGAAACATATATATGATATCTTGAGTATTGCGGATTCACGCTTTCATCTTGACAGGGATGCTTGTGCAAAGAATGGTTCTATACATCCTATTCTTCTTTGCCATACTTATGGTATGGGATTTTCCACACTATCTGCTGCATTTGTCCATGTGCTACTCTTTAGTGGAAGGTAGGGCATTTTTCAAAGGGGAAAGCACAAAAAATTGTTCATAGTTAAGTCTTTTATGGTTTTAATATTTTTTCTAATTAGTGCGTCCTGTATGCAGTGACCTATGAAGGTATATGATTTAGTGGCCATGTTGTGTTTTTAGGTCACCCTTGTGGTGAACATTGCTGCAATAATCTTTGCTTGCCACTACTAAAACTAGTCCACTCCAGTTGCTGGGTGGGGAGTGTTGCTCCAACCTTTCTTGCCTACTTCAAGCTAGGGCACTTCATGAAATTTCCTCCAAGAGAAATTTTCATGACTCAGGTCAGTTTTATCCTGTTCAAATTTATGTCAAATAGCAAAGTACTTAAATTGCATATATAATCAAATCTAAACATCATGTCATTAAAGGTTGCAGGAACAATTATACACAGTGAATGCCTGGTGGTTATTAATGGGAGACATGCCAAATCTTTGTGATTCCAATTTGCTTCCCAGCAACAGCCATTGGAATTGAGGAAGTGAGCTCGTTGAAAGAGAGATCCAGGACCAGAAGAGATTGACAAGTGAGAGAGAGGAAGAAATGATAGGTGGAAAATAACACCCCAGTATCAGCAAGATCAAACACGTTACTTTGTATGGCCAGTTTAGTTGTTACACTCGATTCCTCTCCAGTTATAGGAATTCTTTTTCACATCTTCACTTCCCCAAGAAGATAGATGGCCATCTTCATCAACCTCTGGCCTTGTTTTAAAGGAAGCACCACTTCTCTTTCCTCCTCTATGCACCTTATAATGTTAGAACCTGCAAGTGTTTGATTCAAAACCAACGAAATTATAACAACCAGAATGTGTTTGATATGTTATCGGAAAAAGAAAAGAAAAAACATAATTTTACCTTTAAAGAGAATGGCTTGAATTTGATCCCCATTTGCCCAATGGAAAAGAAAACTACATAAAATAGTTTTATATTATTAATTTTCGCATCCTTCTTTGGGAAAGAAGAAACCGACACAATCAACTTCATCGACAATATTTCTGGTATCTAATTGTTAGAACTCAAGTCTAAGAGAAAACTTAATCTAAGAGATTGATCTGATAGGTGGGAAAGTCTCTGAACATAAATATCACATTTAATGGGTGTGAGTTCTCTGATATAAGATCCTAACACTAACCATATTAAGAGTGTCAGTTTTGGATTGTTATAGCTTAAGAATTAATCTATAATAACAAAAGTGTTTGATAGATCACTTTTAAAATTATTTAAGTTTCAAGTTGATTATTAAATAATTAATTTAATAAAAGGATTTCACAAGCTAGCATGAGTAACTTTTAAAATAAGATAATAAGATTCTTTCTAAAGCTGAGTCTCGTTAAAATGACAAATCTATCCACACATAATTATTTAAATTACAAAATTGACAAAAATAAATATGTAATTTATTAAATGATAATTTCATAATTCGTTTATAAATTTAAAAAAAGAAATTGGACGGTTGTAAACTGCTGGTCAATAACAGCCACGTGATTGTCAACGGTAATTGAACACTATCTCATATTTTTAAAAAATTTATACAGAAAATATATATAAGCACTCTTTGTGAGGGATGATTAATGTTTTCTAAAAATATTGTATAGAAAAGAAAATTTTAAGATTTTTCAGGGGTTTATGAAAAATATATACCTTTTGAAATTTGAATCGCATTTGTTTTTATTTTTTATTTTTCCTTATTTTGGGATAAGCCGAAACTAGACAATTTCTATCTTTGATTGATGTTTTTCACAAAATCATCCTTTCTGTCTTCAGTTTCTCCCATGGTTTCAGCGTGTAAGACCTCCTTTAACTTTTGTTGATTCTTTCGCTGATTTACTTTGATTCTCAGATTAATAATTTCAGTCTTTTAATTTTATCTTGTCTTGAATTTCGTCGCTTACAATTATTAACGAGATAAATCAGATTCTGTTTTGCTTGTTTGAATTTGAATTCTCTGCTTGGTTTTCTTGTTATTCTTTTTCAGGCAGTTCAATCTCTGACGAAGAATTTGTTGCTTGTGTCCCCAAATATCGGCCTTTGATTGTATTTTAATATTGTAAAGTTGTCATGATCTTTCTCTAGCTATAAAATTGATTAGAAAACTTCCTTAATGGGGAGAAATTTTGGTGCAATTTCATATGTGCTGTTGGCTAAACATATTCTTGATATAGAGGATACTTATGGCTGGTGGGTAGGTGGTTTATTGGGAACTATCAAATAAAAGATTTGATTTGATCATTTTGTGAACGACGGTGTGAGAGGTTTTGTTTTGGATCATATCATTGTCTATTAACTTGCAATTTGGACCCAAGTACTGTATAGTGTTTATCGAAGTGAAAAGTTTATCACAAAAAGAGACAGAATGTGTCTCCTTAGAAGAATAACGATCTTCTTTCCTTGTACTACTATCGAAGTATTAAGTTTTAATTGGTCATTTTTTTTGATAATGTTAATCAAACTTATTGCCATGTGTTGTTTTGGATATTGCATAGATGCTTCATACTATTCTGCTTATATAGCTTATATATATATGGATCAAATTATACAAGTAAATATATCTGGAATCTGAAATAGGCATGCACTCGAGCAGTTGGAAATCTTAATTTTATTGCGGATACCATTAAATGTATTATGTTTATTCTGTTGAAATGTAATGGACTTTATTGTTTGTTGTCTTTTTGTCTCAGGATTGTTGCTGCCACACTGCCTCGGATTTGTGCTGTTGTTTCTGAGTTTTGCTGATGACCACTTGCCTGGTCATTTTATCTAGAGTTCTCATTGTATTTTGTATATTTCTTGTAATTCAAAGAATTTCATAATTCATATTAAATATACTGTCCTGTACATACATTTGTAAACAATGATCATTCTTGTAGCAGTACAACCAAACTAATTTTATTCTTTCAAGTTTGTCTGTGATATTTTCATTTCAGTTGGAGTGAAACTTATCTATATTTATTTCTTATTTATACCCTCTAAATATATACTATCTCATGGAAAACTTGTAGATGTTTATTGGTTATTCGTGGAATAAGACAAAGAATTGACTTCTCTAGTGGTGGGTTGAATTCTGGGGAACTCTTCTTAAGTTCTTGACAATGGAGAGCTTGGCTCAACTGGAAGCCTTGTGCGAGAAGCTTTACAATTCATTGGATTCTACTGAACGAGCTCATGCTGAGAGCACTCTGAATTGCTTTTCTGTGGGCACTGAATGCATTTCACATTGTCAATACATTCTGGAAAATGCCTTGACGCCTTATGCATTGATGCTAGCTAGTTCGAGCCTGTTGAAACAAGTGACAGAACAAAGACTCCCTTTGCAGCTCCGACTTGATATTCGTAATATTCTTGCTTGCTTGTTGATAGCTTTGCCTATAAATGATGTAGCGGGAAATTTGTATGATTGGCTTCAGGAATTTTTATCTTTATTTGATATGAAGTACTATTTCAATATCATTAGGTTTGGTGCTCAATTAATTATTTCTTCCCCTTCATTTTTGTCTTATTTTAACCATTTTGATCATATAAATCTTGTGTTTGGGATATTTTGGATCAAATAATGCAGTTTCTGTTTTCTATTTGTACAGGGTATGTGTAAAATGTTTCCTGGGTTTCACGTTTTCTAATCTTAAGGATAGGCGAATTAAGGGATTACAACTATGATATGTGTGTGTGTGTGTGTGTGTGTGTGTGTGTATTTCCACATTCTTGTTTCTTATGCAATGTTTTCTTTGAAAATTTCCCAAATTGACCTAAGTGCACTTTGTCTGAAGGAAACTATCTTGTAACCTATCTGGCCACCAGAGGACCTGACTTGCAGCCTTTTGTAGTTCGATCCCTGATCCAACTCTTTTGTCGAGTTACGAAGTTTGGGTGGCTTGAAGATGATGGATTTAAAGAAGTTTTGAAAGAAGCCTTGAACTTTTTGAGTCAGGTGATATCAGTTCTTCATAGGACCTTTTCTCTCAATTTGCTTTAAATATGATGCTGTTTGCCTTTTCAGTTTCTTATCAGAAAAAAAAGTTATCTGTTTCTAAGTGCATATGGTTATATAATTATCAATGTTGAAAATTATGGGGTAAATACTATTTTAGAGGTTAATGGGAAAATAGTGAGATCTTATGTTGAGGGATTTTGTTGTTTATATTATTTCTGTAATTAACATTATTGTAACCCTATGTTTAATGAATCTGTATTTAAATTTTTGTTTCTGATGTATTATCCGCATTTTTGGATATTTCAGTTGTCATAATAACATAGAATTCGTTAATCTTTTGTTTGCCAATTCATGTACTGTTTTGTTTATCTTGATGAGCAGACCATCTATACTTTTCCCATTGTTGCGTTTGGCATTTCTGTATTGGATTGGATTAATTCATTAGGATTGGAATTGAATAAGATTGATTTATAAGATTGGATTATTAATTTTGTACAATGTTTGGTTAAGTATTATTTTGCATAGGGTTATTTAGATAATAAATTCCAAATTTACCATTTAATTAATTTGAAGAAAAATTAATTAAAATTTTATATTAATTTTAATTTAGTTATTAAAATTTAATAAATATGCAAAATAGATATTAATAAATATACATTTTGTTAAATTATTAGTTATATTTATATTGACTATTTTTGTAATTTATAATTTTTATAAATTGAAATATAACATAAATAAGATAGTAAATTATTGAATATGTTTGTAAGTAGACTTGTGCACTAAAACGTGCCCCATCCTCAGTGTGGGTTCCTTTATTGCAGTGTGAGGGGGACAAAACTTAAAACTAGTCCCCTGTTAAAACAATCCATGCAGCTTACAAACACCTTTAATCCGATCCTAACTTTTAGTATAGTCAAATCTGGGCAAACAAACACCCCATATTGTCAGTAACATCTGTTGGGTCATTTCTTTACCGGACATTTATATTATCTGGACACAATTTATGATGGCACTGCCCCATTGGATTTCACTCTTTCCACGGCGGTTAGTGAGATCATGTAGGCATGTCCCAATTTAAACTATTAAAAGAAATCTGTGTGCAGATTAATTGATCAAATCTCTGATTTCCATTCAGCTCTGTTTATATTCTACTTGTATTTAAGTGGGCAATTGAAATAAAATTATGGGTCTCAATACCATATGTATTATTTGTGTGCAGATAATTATATGATTTGTCCTTCTCATTTGTTATCACGTGTATACAAGATTGTTAATATAATGAAATGAAAGACTTACTTTTGTTGCATACTTGGAAAATTCTCATATTAACAATTGGTGTTGTGTCATTGTAGGATGCTCACTGAGAGTTAAAGCAAGTCTTAGCTTTACATATCATAGACCTGTATCCGTGTTCTCAGTTCTTTTTTGTATTGAGAAAGGATTATGTGCCTTTAGTCTTAGTGATAAACGTGNGGTTATTTAGATAATAAATTCCAAATTTACCATTTAATTAATTTGAAGAAAAATTAATTAAAATTTTATATTAATTTTAATTTAGTTATTAGAATTTAATAAATATGCAAAATAGATATTAATAAATATACATTTTGTTAAATTATTAGTTATATTTATATTGACTATTTTTGTAATTTATAATTTTTATAAATTGAAATATAATATAAATAAGATAGTAAATTATTGAATATGTTTGTAAGTAGACTTGTGCACTAAAACGTGCCCCATCCTCAGTGTGGGTTCCATTATTGCAGTGTGAGGGGGACAAAACTTAAAACTAGTCCCCTGTTAAAATAATCCATGCAGCTTACAAACACCTTTAATCCGATCCTAACTTTTAGTATAGTCAAATCTGGGCAAACAAACACCCCATATTGTCAGTAACATCTGTTGGGTCATTTCTTTACCGGACATTTATATTATCTGGACACAATTTATGATGGCACTGCCCCATTGGATTTCACTCTTTCCACGGCGGTTAGTGAGATCATGTAGGCATGTCCCAATTTAAACTATTAAAAGAAATCTGTGTGCAGATTAATTGATCAAATCTCTGATTTCCATTCAGCTCTGTTTATATTCTACTTGTATTTAAGTGGGCAATTGAAATAAAATTATGGGTCTCAATACCATATGTACTATTTGTGTGCAGATAATTATATGATTTGTCCTTCTCATTTGTTATCACGTGTATACAAGATTGTTAATATAATGAAATGAAAGACTTACTTTTGTTGCATACTTGGAAAATTCTCATATTAACAATTGGTGTTGTCTCATTGTAGGATGCTCACTGAGAGTTAAAGCAAGTCTTAGCTTTACATATCATAGACCTGTATCCGTGTTCTCAGTTCTTTTTTGTATTGAGAAAGGATTATGTGCCTTTAGTCTTAGTGATAAACGTGGTCTACTCTATATATATATATTGTTTTTTTTTTTTTTGTGTCACTCCTAATGGCAGGTATGAAAGAGGATTTTTTGTTTGATATTTCTATATAGACTCTTCTGCCTTCCAACAATATTTTTGATGATATGTTTACAAAGTATTGCTAAGATTTTCTACGATATTAATTCTCTTGTATGGAAGCTATTGGGAGAGGACCTACTGTTGATCATCTTTGTGGCATCGATTACCAATTTAGCATGCTGATTTATAGAACTAAGCAATTGGATCTTGTTGTGCTCTTCCCATTAGCTTTTCCGTTGCCTTGTCTTTAAGTTGCTCTTTGTTGGGAGGCTTGAATTCTTTATTGATGGTTCTCCTTCTTTATACCAACTAGATTTGGTGATCAAAAGTTCAATTCTTTGCTTTCTTGGATGACTTGATGAGTAACTTGTGACAGGAATTTCTCATTTTATGATTAGGAAATATATTTTGTTGTATAGGGCTATGGAAGACAGTTTGAGATCATGTTACGGTCATTTTGCTTTGAATAAAATTGGTCCTTTCAAGCTTGTTTTAGAATTAATTTACATGCGGGTTTTAGGTAAGCTATCGGAGAAACTAACTTTCTAGCAAGGGGACACTAGTTCTTAGTAGCAAAAGGCCACCCTGTTACCTTTGGAGATTCTGGAGTTGGATAGTTGGTGTTGTTTGGCCTTGCCTTCTTTCTTGTTTTTATATTTTATATTTTATATATAATATATATTTTATGCTTTTAGCTTAAGTTACTACTAGACCCATAACTTTAGCTGATAAGTAAGGGCTCGGTAATTGTATATAAGCTTTGACACCCTTTAACGTGGAATACATGCAGATTGAAAGCAACCATAGCTACAAATGTGTTTTAAATATTGCATTGGAGTCCACTTGGTCAACTATCATGTTAAGTTATCATGTAATGCAAAAACAGTTGATAGGTTAGGCCCCACAATAGTAGTTAGGCTCTAACCTGCCATTGCTCCAATTTTGTTCGCTTGTTTTTGAGGGATGCTTCTTTAATTTCTCCTATTAGAGAAAAGAGGATTAGCGGTATAATTATGCAAATACATGGTTAAAACTTTATCAATCTGCTTAGTGCCCAAGATAGTTATTATTGGGGTTGAATTTAAGACCCAAATTTGTTTGAATGATGATACAAATAGTTTTGTGTTTATTCAGTTTTAGATTCTCCCTTTTTCTGGGTGGCTTTGACAGTTATAGCTGCTACAACAGGCAAGAATATGGTGAATAATTCTGATAGCCCTTATTTAAACCTTGGCTGTCATTATGTATGGTTCTTTAAAGGCCATATAACATTATCTATTTATTTGTTTGGTCAACTATATTTGATTGCTTTATGCTTATTATAATAAATGATAATTTATGAAATTAATTAATTAATTATTATTATTATTATTATTATTTTTTTGTATTTTCTTGTGGAAACATGTTGGTAACTTGTATTATCTGCTCCAGGGTCCACGTCATTATGCCATTGGTTTGAAGATATTGAACCAGCTTGTTTCTGAGATGAATGAGGTCAGTCTTGTCAATATCTTTTACTTAAATTGTAAATAAACATTTTTTCAATACGGATTGTTATTGTGTGTATGGTTAGTATGGAGCTTAAGTTGAGCATGTAGAAAATCATCTTAGGTATACATTTCCTCATTTCTTTTGTGGTGGCTGGTATGAAGCTTTGGTGTCGCATCTTTTCTTCAGATATTTTAGGATTAAGAAGCTGGTTAGAGGGAAGGAATCAAAATGATTAAATCATGTATAATTTTTTAAAGCTGTTGGACTAACTGTTCAATAGTGCACTGTGGCACTGTCGTTGAGGTGGTTGGTAGAGAATGAGTGATTACCAAAATGATTAAATCATGTACAATCTCAGACAAGGAAGTTGTTCACAATCTATATCTTTTTTCTATAATTTGCATAAATGAGTGAATGCCAATTCTTTTTTCTCATATAACCAATATACACGAAAAGAACCAAATAGCAAGGTGTACTTGATGGGGCTTAGTTTTGTGTTGCTAAGGAAAATTGGTGCTTACCTTATAAAGAATCTAGAACCATGAAAGATACAAACTGTGAATGGAAGCCTCTAAGTCTACGGCTAAACAACTCTTTTTAATTAATATTTAAAGTTTTAGTTTCATAATGCTTGATCACATTTAAAGATGCTTTTGTACCATCAGTAGTATATTTTTCCCTTCATTCCAAGTATATCATAATGAGCAGAAAAGTGGCATACTGCAAGCCATTTGCTTCTTTGTTTTGGCACCGTCTAGTAATAGGAACCCATTGGAATTGAACAGTTATTTTTAAGAATTAATCGGTTAATGTCTCAATGGTGAGGTAGAGTTCAGTATGACTTAATAATTTGCTGAGCTCCTTACCGTCTTATCATCAGTTGTTTGATTTATTTTTTTCTTGAATCTGTACTTGGTTCGATAACATAAGTGCCTTGCTACCTTGCTGATTTTCTTTTGAATTTTTTAACAACAAGTTGGCTGCTCTCTGCCTGTTATCTAGGTGTTTAAAATTGCTCTATCAACTTGCCATTAAAGTACAGCCCTCAACTTCCAATTTATTCTCCAATTATTTATTGATTTATGCATTTGCACATTAAATGTTTAAAATGCTCAACTTTTATAGAGTCAAGGAAATTTTGAGTAAAAGTAGAAAAATTGATGATGAAAAGTATAGTGCTGCTTTATTGTTGTTGTCTTATGAAAACAGATGGGAATGTTGTGTCACCTTTTGTTTTAAATTTTGAGGGAATCTGAGTGGATGGCAGTTTGATTTGATTATTCTTTGTCATAAGAAAAATTATGAATTAAGCTCCTCTACCCTTTTGGTATAGCATGACTTGCTCATTTTGGCATATGACTCCAAATATGTTTTCATTTAGAAAGGCACATAATTACCTATATTTCTAGTAAAGATTCTTGACGGGGACAGTTTTGAAAAAGAAAGCTAAGATTATACTTGTGATTGGTTTTGGCAGTCGGGTGAATGCAGAGAGATCTTGGTCTTCTTTTTATTTGATAGGTCTAGAAATGTCATTTAGTTATAATCCTCTGATATCATAATTTTTATCTCTATAAGTAACTTTTTTCGATCTTAATTTATGATTGCTTATTTTGATGGATTCCTTTTGCTATCTTGTTATTTGCTGTTTAATTTGCCAATAGCAGTGTTTTTATTGTTTGATGCTAATTCACTAATGCTATCGTCATTTTATAAATAATCAGCCCAATCCAGGATTGCCTGCTTCTTATCAACGCAAGATAGCTTGCTCTTTCAAAGATCAATCTCTTTTTAAGATATTTGAGATATCTTTAACTTCACTCTGTCAACTTAAGGATGATGGTAATGTATTGACTTTTGTTTTTATAACAGAGGTTGTAGAATTCTTGTGAAAAATTTAAAGGCTGAGTATGACTGTTTTTAACCTTCTATTTTTTTTTTTTTTTTTTTTTTTTTTTTTTATGGTGAAAAAAAGTTGGAAGCAAGTTGCAGGAACTGGCTCTTTCGCTGTCCTTTTAAATGTTTATCATTTAATTTTATGGGGACTTCATCTGATGAAAGTTATGACGAGATAGGTATTGTTCAGGTATGTTTTTAACATCTTTCTTGCATATATGTTAGTCACGAACTCATTTGCAGTCCAAATCTCTTTGTATAATTTACCTTTTTGGTCTTTCACATTTGCTCTGACTTGTGTAGATCCCAAATTCTTGGAGGCCAGTCCTTGAGGATTCCTCAACACTGCAGATCTTTTTCGATTATTATGTAATCACTCAAGCCCATTTTTCAAAGGAGGTTTGTAGAAGTGATATGTCCACTGCAGGACAGCCATTTTCTTCTGAAGTATTTGGAGTTTGGTTATGATTTTCCTTCTATCATTTTGTGTGGACAATAACTTGCATCATTGTGCACGATCATGCATTCTCCTCCCTTTCTATTCTTCTATTATGTATGCCCTTTCTTGCTTTCTTGTTCCTGATCCCTGTTGACATGTCTTGACATGCTATCATCAACATTGTAATTTTATCTGCATTATGTGTTTGTCATGCCCATGTATGCCAAATTTTAGTGCTATCATAATTTGGCAGGAAGGCTTGTTGTGAAAGGTCTTTGGACTGCTGTCAAGATGTCATATGCTAATCATATAAGTGAACCGGCATTAAGGTGCCTGCAAAGCAACTGAAACAGCTTTAGCATCAACCAGCTAGATAGAATTTTTAAAAATTTTCTACATGAAAACTAGAACTCAGTGTTGACAGCAGTCTAAAGTTATTGCCTGCTGTATTTTTGGGTGAAGAATAACCTATCTGTATTTTATGGTGTTGACAACATGTCTACTGTTAAACATCTTTCAACTTTTTGTTTTGGTCTTCCAGTTGTTCTCAAGTACAGACTTCTTTCTCCTTTTCCATCTTGTTCTTTATTTTTTTCCCTATCTCATCCTGTTCTCCAAAATTGAAAAAATGTAGTCTTTGATGGTAAAGTGGAAGGTATCTACATTTTTCTGTGAAATAAATAGGGTCTGAAGTAGAATATTTTGTTGTTTGTGTGTTTATTCAACCTGTATAATATTCAATTTCTGATCAGCAAAGACCCTTGTCATTGCTTGAAGTGTGCCTTATGGCACTGTCTGAAAGTCTTGTTGGTAGTATGGCCCTTTATAATGTTTTTGATCCTTATAGTGATGCCTACGAACTTGTTAGTATTTTGTTGAAAATTTACAATTTCCTTGACTTCCAACCTTATTTTCGGTTTTATCATCAATTTTTTGAGCATGATTTGGAGGTTAATTTCTTAAGAAGTTGTTTGGTATTCTGACGTGTTTGGTGAACCTGCTAGAAGTTAGTGGTTAATTTGACCTCATTATCAGTTTCCCTTGAAATCTCCTATGTTTGTGGATTTTATATCGTTGCTTATGACATTGTCATCAATCATCAAGCTATCATTGTTTTAGCAATTCTTATTGACATGTTTATCAATATCAAGTTTATTTCATAATTTGTTAAAAATTGCCAGTTCATTTTTGTTTTACCACTTTCTTCTTCTCCTTATAAGTTTTTCTGTATGAAACATGAGCAGTCTTTCTCGATTTGTGGGGCATATGCTATGGCTTTATTCTTGGTCTAATCATTAATTGTTCTTAATTCCAGGCTCTAGAGTGCTTGGTGTTGTTGGCTTCTGTAAGGCGATCCTTATTCACAAATGATTCTGCACGATTGAAGTTTTTATCCCACTTAATGATGGGAACCAAAGAAATACTACAAACAGGATTAGGTGAATGGGATTAACATTCTTTGGCTTCCTTTTAATTCCTTACTTTTGTTTTAATCTGATATATATTTCTTATGTTTAATGATTTCTTCTGTTAGTAAAATTTCTAAATATCTAAAAACTTTTGTTACTCTGAGACAAGTTAGTTGGATAACAGAGTTATGTTATATTTTGCATACACATAACATGTGATCCAACCACGTACTGTTACTTTTTTCTTCTTGACACTGAAAAACATTAAATCCTCTATTCCAGGTCACTGTTGTATTGATTTCGATTTACTGCATGATTAATGTCGTTGGAACACTTTCACTTTTATATTATATGTAGGATGAGTGGATGTTCATGGAAGAATTCATTCAAGACAGCCTTTTAGTGGAGTTTGTGGGCCTTAAATTTGTTAGTCAAAGGCATGTGCCAGACTGCATTTTCCCATCTTTCTTTCTCATCAACACAGTTGCTTGGACAGTATTGACTGTGCCTTAAACTTTGGATATAATGGAAGTTCTTAGTCTTTTACAGTAAACGCCTTTTAATTTTTATGAATAAGCCATTCAAGTTACACTGTAGAAACAACATTGTGAGACATGGGCCTGCAAAACTAGTATACCACTTTCCCTGCCCTCCTAGCTAATGGGAGATGGAGTGTCAGGCACTCTTATCATTTTTTATTTTATTTTTGGTACAATAATGTGCTTCCCTTTGTTATATTTTCTGCTGAAATGAATAGTCTGTGGAAATAGCAACATCAATGTGAATAGAGATTGCCATCATATGATCATCATCTTCTCCTTCCATGAAGAATAAGCGCTTGATCTTGCTTGTGATTGAATGGTCCAGATTTTATAGTTATAGTGTTTAGTAGATTTGCAATCTTTCTGTGCCCAAGATTTATTGTTAGGTAATTTGATATTTTACATATATATTTTTTGTCTGCAAAATTTTATTAGTATAGCAACATTTTAATTCTACTGACATGAAATTTGGAAACTGTAATGCTGTTGAGTCATTGAAATTGTTTGAATTTTACTTACTTTTGTGCTTAATATAAGAATATTGGTAAATTTGACTAGTGTACTACAGGGTTTCTGCTGCCATGTTTTCTGTGATTTTTCTGTGTTTATCATCATTGAATGGAAAAACAATTGCATCATATTATATGAATATTAATTATGACTTGACTTTCACAAGAATTTCCTTTATTTTTATTTGGGGTCAGGTCTTGCTGATCATGATAATTATCATGTGTATTGTCGCCTCCTTGGACGTTTTAAAGTGAATTATCAGGTACGCACATTTCTTTGAGCATATGCAGTGTATTTATTTTTACTATTGTGCCTATATAGATTGTAGAGGTATTAAATATTTGTATGATTTAGGTTTAGGCTTGGCAAATGTGATTGGATCTGTCCGGCCCATAATATTAAAACTTGGGATGTTTAATAGTTGGGTTAGACTACCTATAATAACTTGGGAAAGAGTATATCTGCTATATATTTTTTTTAACTAATCTGCACGTCATGTGCTATTTTTTATTTATTTTTAAACATTACTAAAATCAAGGGTTGTTTATGTAGTTCTTGAACCATTACGGAGATGATTCTGTTTAAGCCAATCCCCTGGGGTCATTGCAATTATCCATCAATGAAATTACCCTTGTAGTTTTAAAAATACCAGAGATACACTATGAACTGTTGTTGAGTACCTCCGTCAATTTTAACTGTTGACAAATTTTGACATGTGAAATTTACACGAATATCCTTTACTTTTTGAAAGTTGGCTGTAATATAAGATGATCATTTCTTGTTGGCATACGTAAAGTCGAGAATATTTTTGGAAATTTCACTGGTCAGAGATTGGAACTTATTGAGATACCTAATCGTGAGGGTTTTCATTAATATTCCGAAAATCCATGAAGTGTCTTTGATATTAACCCAATCCAGGAGTTGTAGATGATATTTCTGGAGATAAATGAGAAGAAGATTATTTTGTCAAAAAAAAATACGTTTATCTCTCTTTAGGCTTGGACCTAAAATGCCGTTCAAGATAAAAATAAATCTTTTTTCTTGATTTACTTAGACTGGGAAGGAATTCCTTTTTAAAGATAGATTTAAAGATCTGCATCGCTCAAACGGAGCGAAATACAAAAGTGGATTAGATGTCCAAACTAGCAAAACAAAATCAGCTATTGACGTACAAAGTTGTATAAATCATGTATGGTTGTATCTTTGACATTTGTAAGTAACTAAAGAATAACTATAGAAGAGCGGACCTCAATAAAAAAGATCCTCAGAATAGATATCTGATAACTCCTCCCACTTAGTTGAATAAAGAAAAGAAAAGGTTGTTGTAAATCCTAAGAAACTAGAGACAAAGAGATACTGAAAACTGGGGATTGTCCTCTAAGTTACTAACCTTTTTTTGCCTTCTAGATAAGGTTGTTGAACTTTTTGCTATCAAAATTAACTTTTAATTTTTTTTTTTTTTTTAGGAAACGATAAAACTATATATTAAAAAGAGAATGAGATAGGTACATCAGTGGATTGGAGATCCAATAATATCAAAAATCCAGGGAGGGAGCAAATCTATACAGGGGAGTGATAAGTGTTCCTCTCCTATGTGAAAACAAGCAAACTAAACAATGTTAGCCCAAAACCCCCTCCCAATTAAGATGAATAAAGAAAAAAGAAAAATCCTTTAATTCTTTTGAAACTGAAGCCCAAATATTAGCAAAAAGTCTAATCCTATCCCACAAGACATCATTGTTATCATCACATTTCTCCCCAAAAATTCGATTATTTCTTTCTTGCCATGTAACCCAAAGAAGAGCTGAAATGATACATATCCAAAGTGATTTAGCCTTATTTCCTCCTTGGAAAGTAAAAAACGTTCTCTGTAAGTAAAGCCTTTCAAGAACCAGGGATAGCCCATGATATCCTAGATTCTTTCCAAACTCTAGCCCATAATTTTGAAGCCATAGAACAATGAAAAGAGGTGGTTTGCAGTCTCCTCACTTTTTTAACAAATCACACACCAAGATGGAGATAGGCATATTGATGGATATCTGCTTTGAATAATATCTCCAGTATTGATTTTGCCTTCTGTTAAAGCCCACAAAAAGACATGAACTTTGGGAGGGACTTTTGGCTTCTATATCATCTTGAGAGGTTTAAAGTTATCAATAGGAGACTCATATACCAACAACTGATAGAAGGATTTACTAGACTAATTGCCCCAAGCTTCCAATTTTCACTTTCTTGTATCCTTTTTCTCTCGTCAATGTTAACTCCAACAGCTCAAGAAAATGTCTTCTCTCTCTTAACTTCAAAGTTCTTTTGAAATTGAAGTTCCAATTCCATGATGAAGAATTTGGAGAGAAAACCAAACAAGAGTGAATAGATAAGTTTCTATTAGGACAAAGCCTATGAAGGTGAGGGAATTTATCACTCATAGTGGCATCACCTATCTACTTATCTTCCCAAGACCTAATATCTTTCCCATCGCCCATGACCAAAGCAATGTGATTAAGAAACGATGGATATTGCTTAGAGATGGATTTCCAAGGGTTTATTAAGGAATCGATTTTAACCATAGTAGTGTCACATTTATTTTTGTGAAGGCCATATTTGCTCCTCACGTCAGCTTGCCCTAAAGAATCTTTTTGAATAGGAAATCTCCATAGCCATTTAGCCTAAAGACTTAAATTCTTTTTCACAACATTCTAGATTCCAAGCCCTCATTTGCTTTTAGGTCTCGAAACAATGTCCCACCTTAAAAGATGAGAACCTTTGCTTTTACCGAATCCTTCTCACAAGACGTCTATCATCAATTTTTCAATTCTTTTTGCCACCAAATTAGGGATTTTAAACACGGAAAGATAATAAATTGGAAGAGACGATAACATAGATTGAATTAAAGTGAGTCTCCAACCTTTTCAAAGAAACCCTCTTTTCTATCCGGCTGATCTTCTTTCAATTTTCTCCATCATTGGGTCCCAAAAACTAGAAAGATCTAGGGTTATCTCCCAAAGGAAGACCCAAATATTTAAGTGGCCATTTTCCCACCAACAAGCCAAAATGTGTAGCCAAGGTGTTCATTTTTCCTCCTACGAGTTAATCCCCACTATAACACTCTTAGTCTTATTGACTTTTAATCCAAAGATTAAACAAAATATATCAATCAGCTTTAGGAGATTATCAATTTTTTTTGGATCACCCAATGAGAAAAAGAGTGTCATCGGCAAATTGCAGATGTGACTCTTCAATCTTCTCTTTACCAACCAAAATGCTCTTCACAAGATTAGCATCAATAACTTTTCTCATTAATTTACTCAGCCCATCCACCACTGAAGTGAAAAGAAATGGAGGAGAGGATCTCCTTGTCCTAACCCTGTTGAAGCTCCAAACTGTCCTTTTGGTAAAAAATTAATTAAAATAGAGAAGTTCATAGAATAGAGGCAGCCCATGATCCATTTCCTCCATTTAGCTCCAAATGTTTCTCTCTCTCTCTCTCTCTCTCTCTCGCACACACACATATATAGAATGTACTTTTAACTCTTTCTGGTTATGGTAACAATTTTCTAAATGTTTCCTGCTTTCTTGTACACATCTGGTGTACCTGGGTTATGCACCATTGCCTCATTCTTTTATCAGCTCTAATATATGAAAGATTGGTTATCTCTTTGCAGCTATCAGAACTAGTCAACAATGAATACTATAGTGATTGGATACGATTAGTAGCTGAATTCACATTAAAGTCTCTGCAATCCTGGCAGGTCAAGTTGTGTCCCCTACTTTTCAGTAATTCTATGAATTGAATGCTATCTGAATATTACCTTTCTTTATGGATGAACCTCCTTTTGTCTGAATCTGATTAATTTAGCTCTGTCTTTACCAGTGGGCTGGCACAAGTGTCTACTACCTTCTTGGGCTTTGGTCCAGAATGGTAACATCTTTACGGTATTTGAAGAGTGAGTCACCCGACCTGTTGAATGATTACGTGCCCATGATTATAGAAGGTTTCATTTCTTCAAGATTTGAATCATTGCAGGTCAGATTGCATTTGTTGTATTTAAGCATGTTATGCATTAAGATTTCAATATTTTGAGTATCAATATGCTTGTCTGCCCTCATTTTTCTTCTGCAGTCTGAACTGTTGGATGAACTTTCTGAGAATCCACTTGACAATGTTGAACTTCTTCAAGATCAGCTTGATTTCTTTCCTCACCTCTGTGGATTTCAGGTTTATACTTTGACATGCTTCAACCAGGAATCATTTCTTAATTCTCCATGCCAGAAGCTTTAATATAACTGAATAAAGAATAAAACTATGAGTTTTTTTATCCTACAATTCATGTTTACCTACTAACTTTATTTAATTTCACTTTGTCTCTATGACGTTGATTGTTTCCTGGATTGCAGTATGAAAATTGTACTACATATATATTGAAGATTTTGGAGCCTATCTTGCGAATGTATATGGTATGAGTTGCTTTTCAATAATGCTTCAATTTTATTGAATATTTGACATACGTTAAATCCTCTATGAAATTTGATTTTGTGACTCATCTTAATTTACACAGGAAGGAGCAGGACTCCAAGTTTGCTCGGATAATAAGGAACTCTCAATCATTGAAGCCAAACTTGCTTGGATAGTGCATATTGTTGCTGCCATTCTTAAGATAAAGCATATTGGTGGCTTGAAGTAATTTTTTCTTTTTAGAAATTTGATGCTAGTGTTCATTTCAAGTAGGCAATCTTATTCTCAGCTAATTATGTTTGCTTGCCTCCTGCAGAAATGAATCGCAGGAAGTATTTGATGCAGAACTTTCAGCACGCGTTTTGCAGTTGATAAATGTCACTGACAGTGGATTACATAGTCAGGTATATCAACAAGGGTGAGCAAACATTGGTTTGCTTTGAACTGGAAAACTGATTACTCTCCACAAACCACACCAAAGCAACCATCAAGTGGTTTAGTTTGATGGTAGACTCACCTAATCAATTAAATTTATTTTTATATGTTATTAAAAAAAAAAAAAAAAATTAAAATAGGGAAGGGTTTGAAATTTCTGCTTTTTGCTTTTTCTTATACAAAAGCATAGCAGATCAGATGCTTGTGTAAAATTCTAAATGTCATAGTTTTATCTTTATTGCTGAAAGCTGTGCCTTGTTAGAAGTAATATTTCAAGGATAGTACTCTAAAGTTGAACCTAGATACCAAACAAAGTCTGCATTCAATGAAAAAGCACCTCACCATTACTTATTTAGGCTAAGTCAAATCTCCTCAAGACATATTGCAGCATACCAAGGAAACTTTTTGTAAGAAAATGATGAAGATATTTTTCTTCTTTTTTTATTTTTAAAAATAACTTTTTGTTGCATGTTGGTGCCAGAGTGAATCTAATTCTTTTGCTTCAAAAGCCTTCTTGATTGATCATAACTGTCCACTTTATATGTGCTTCTGTGTTCTATTTCTGTATGTTCATATTTAAATAGAAGTTTCTACCTCAATGGGATGTATTGATACTGGCTTATTGTACACCTGGGATGAGGATTGTGAATCATTGTGCATTGCCTTGTTTTTCTACTCCCTAATTGATTGCCTTAATTATCACTTAACAACATTTCAACATTATTAGCTTCCAGTCTTCACACTTGTACTCAAAATGTAATGAATCCAACAGTGAACATATATAGTCCTGAGCAAGTATAAAATTTATATCAGGACGAATATTCATGATATAATTATATTAAGACCATGCTTAATCATCATTGGATCCTTATTTATGAAATATCATTTTAATCCAATAAGTGAATCCAACGATATACAAGCATAGTTTTGAAATAATTATTTTAGGACGGTCATGACTAGAGAATTATTATATATATGTATATATATTGAGCTATAGTTGTGTTGTTGAGACAGCAAAATTCTATAATTATTGCTGTATTGCTGTAGGACATGGGTCTGGACCCTGCAATTTTGGGTAATGTACCATGAATGTACAATATTAAAAGTGTCCTGCTAATGCGGTTAGACCAATACTTCAAACCATTTTTCTTTCCTTTGAGAATATGCATTTTTGAACTAATTAAGACGGGATTCTTGATGCATTGCCAGATTGATTTAATCATTTACTCGTTCGTTTAAAGAGGTTAAAATTGACTTGAAAGCAATAGTGCCTATCTAGATCCTTTCCTTTTCCTCAGATTCTCACCAATAACTCCTATCAACTTAATTTGAAATTTGACAGAGATATGGTGAATTGAGCAAACAAAGACTTGATCTAGCAATTCTCACCTTCTTTGAACAGTTTAGGAAGTCTTATGTTGGCGATCAGGCTGTGCATTCTGCGAAGGTACATGAATCTGTAGTTTAAACACATACCTTTGATTTTCTTCTGCACTTTAAACATCTTCATGCATTTTGATGATATCTACTTTATTTTCAGATGTTATATTCTCGACTGTCAGAGCTTCTTGGAATCCATGATAATCTGCTATTATTGAATGCTATTGTTAGAAAGATTGCAACTAATCTAAAGTCTTACAAAGAGGTGCATTGCATAACTTATTTACTTTCTCTTGTTCCTTGGATTCAGTTAATGCTAAAAATTTTGTTTATTGTAGAGTGAAGAGCTTATTAATCGTACCTTAAGTCTCTTCTTGGATATGGTATCTGGGTTAGTTCTATTCTTGCTGATGACTATATAAAAGTTCCTGTTATGTCTTGACTCAATCTTATTTTAGGATAATTATACTAAGATGCATTTTGTGCAGATATATGACTGGAAAGCTGCTTCTGAAGTTGGATAATATCAGAGTCTTAATATCTGACGTAAATACTGAGACATTTTTCTATTGAAGTTTTGATTCTGCTTTCATGTATTGGATATGTATAATGTTTGTTTGAGTGTATAACTACTTTTGGATTACTGGTACTCCGTTTTGTATTTCTTTTTAATCTTTTTATGTTTCTTGCATAAAAAAATAGTACTTTAATGTCTTGTCCTTTGTCTTTTCCAGAGAGAACACTTTCCTTTTTTAGAGGACCACAGATGTTCTCGTGGTAGAACAACCTTCTATTACACTGTTGGCTTGTTAATATTCATGGAGGATAGTTTTCTGAAATTCAAATCTTCAATGGATCATTTTCAGCAGGTATTTTAGTTTTTTCTCTGTGACCTTGGTTCAAAATTTAAAAACTAATCTCCTTGCCAAGAATTTTATTTTACTTTGCATTCTACCCAAGATCCTATATGTATATCCAATATTAGAAGTGGAAGCTCTTTTTGTTTTGTCATTTTTCTCTACTACATTTTGCGGTAATTTGTGTATTGCATTAAACGCATAATACTACACGTCCTGAAATCAGGAGAAAACAAATCCTGATAATCTTTTATTTCAATCATATCTAATTGTATTACAAACTCTCCATCTATATAATTGAACTAAGACCTAAGTAGATGACTCTTAGACTAGGATTAGGACTCTAGACTAATATTATCTCTTTTTACTTCAATCTCTTAAACTAAATAAGACTTAGATAACTCCTAAATTGATCATATTCTAATCTAGAAATCCTACACTCTCCCTCAAGCTGGTGAATAGATATTTGTCATTCCTAGCTTGGAAACTAGATTATCAAACAACTGTCTAGGCAGTCCTTTGGTAAGAATATCTATTGTCTACTGACTTGTAGGCAAGTAGGTAACACACAACAACTTATCTTCTATCTTCTCCTTGATGAAATGTTTATCTATTTCAACGTGCTTAGTCCTATCATGATGCACTGGCTTGTGTGCTATCCCAATCACAGCCTTGTTGTCACAATACAACCTTATAGGCTCCTCACTTTTGATTCCAAGCTCTCTCAAGAGTCTTCTTAGCCATATTAGTTCACAAATCCCATGAGTCGTAGCACGAAACTCAGTCTCAGCACTACTTCTAGCTACCATGTTCTGCTTCTTATTTCTCCAGGTTACTAAATTTCCCCAAACAAAAGTGCAATAACCTGAGGTCGATCTTCTATCATCCATAGAACCAGCCTAGCCTACATCCGTGAATGCTTCTACTTTCCTTTTATTCTTTTTAGCGAAAAACATCCCCTTCCCAAGGGTCATTTTAAGGTACCTTCGAATCCTACTAACAGCCTCAAAATGCTTCTCCTGTGGCTTATGCATATGCTGACTCACTCACTCACCGAAAAGGCTATGTCAGGTCTAGTATGAGATAGGTATATTAACTTCCCAACTAGCCTTTGATACCTACCTTTATCAACCAGAGCATCACCACTCATTTTCTCAAAATTCAGATTTGGTTCAATGGGAGTCTCTACTGGCTTGCAACCTAGCATATCTGTCTCCTTTTGTAAATCCAGCACATATTTTCTTCATGAAATTGAATTCACTTTTTACTCCTAGCAATCTCCATACCAAAAAAATACCTTAAGTACCCTAAGTCTTTCAATTCAATATCCCGAGCAAGAACCTTCTTCATAGCCTCCATTTCTTCAAAATTATCTCTAGTAATAATAATAATATCGTCTACATAAACAATTAGAATAGTAATTTTACCTCTAGAGGTTTTAAAGAATAATGTTTGATTAATCTGCTCCTGAGTAAAACCATACCTCTTAACAACCTTTGTGAATTTTTCAAACCAGACTCGTAGAGACTATTTTAGGCCATATAATGATTTCTTCAATTTGCATACTTTTCTGTCCTTTCCACTCCTTTCAAACCCTAGTGGCATTTCCACGTATACCTCTTCTAAAAGTTCACCATTTGGAAAATGCGTTTTTCACATCTAGTTACTGTAGAGGCTAGTCTAGATTTGCTGCAAGAGACAAGAGCACCTTGATAGTGTTCAACTTAGCCATCGGAGCAAAGGTCTCCTCATAGTCTACTCCATAGATTTGCATAAATCCCCTTGCCACCAACCTTGCCTTATACCTTTCAACTGTTCCGTTTGCCTTATACTTAATAGTAAACACCTACTTGCAGCTCACAGTTGTTTTCCTTTCAAGTGAACTCACAAGCTCCCAAGTCTTGCTTTTCTCAAGAGCCTACATCTCCTCTATCACAGCCTTCTCCACTTTTCATCCTCCAATGCCTCATGTACTGTTGCTGGAACCTTCATAGCTGATAGATTAGTGGTGAATGCCAAAAAATCATCTACCAACTTATCATAAGCCACATACTTAGCAATAGGATGCAATGTATAGGATCTAACACCCTTCCTTAGTGCAATTGGTAAATGTAAATCATTATGCCCTAATTTAGACTCATCAGAAGATAGTTCTTCCTTACCTTGTGACTGTGAATCACTGGTTTCTTTCGATTGGGATGATTGCTTATGTAGATCATTAGGTTTCCTTCCACTTTGATAGTCAGTTCTTTGAGAACAACGTTGGAGACCTGGTTGATTTAATCTCTCCAGACCTCCCCTTGGTTCCAATCTTTCCTGAGAGTTTGGTTTATCAAGAGTGGGCTGTATAGTTGGAGTAAGACCTAAATTGGGAGGCTGACTAGGAGATTGACTCATCCTTATAGTACTAGGCTGATCTATAGGAACCTGACCTGAACTAGGCTTACCTATAAGAACCTGACCTGAACTAGGCTGACCTATAGGAACCTGACCTGAACTACGCTTACGTATAAGAACCTGACCTCAACTACGCTGACTAGGAGATTTGACTCATTCTTATAGGACTAGGCTGACCTATAGGAACCTGACCTGAACTAGGTGACTTTGAACTTTGACCTGGATTGGGAGACTGCTGAGACTGACTCAAGTGTGGTTGTAAGGGTAACACTACTTCCCATGAATGACCTTCACAATCTCTCAAATTTCCCCCCTGAAGGGAAGTGGGAAATAATGGATGTGACTAAAAAAATGTAACATCACTAGAGACATATAATTTTCTCTTTACAAGATAGTAACACTGATAGCCTTTCTGTGTGGGAGAATATCCAAGGAAGATACATTTAATGGCCCTAGGGTCTAGCTTTCCTCTATTAGGAGACATAACATATACAAAAGTAGTACATCCAAACTCCTTTAAGGGTAAAGGATTTAGGATTCTACAATTAGGAAAGGTGTTTAGCAAAGTCTCAAGAGATGTATGAAAATCCAGAATTCTAGTAGGTAACCTATTTATCAAATATGCAATTGTTAAAATTGCATGACTCCAAAAATACTTAGGTACATTCATGGTAAACATTAAGGCTCTAACTACCTCTAATAGGTGCCTATTCTTTCTTTTAGCTATCCCTTTTTGTTGTGGTGTATTAACACAAGAGCTTTGATGTACAATCCCCTGATGTAACAGGTAGTTTCCTAGGATAGAGTAAAAATATTCCTTACTATTATCAGTCCGTAAAACCTGAATTTTTTCTTGAAACTGAGTTTCTACCATTGAATGAAAGTTTTTGAACAATTGACCTGCTTCAGATTTGTTGTTCATCAGGTATACCCAACATACTCTGGTGTGATCATCAATAAACATAATGAACCACTTAGACCCTACAATATTTGTAACTTTAGATGACCCCCAAATATCACTATGATTAATTGAAAAAGGCCTAGAACTCTTATAGTTATGAGCTGGATAAATAGACCTGGTGGGTTTTGCAAGTTGACAAGTTTCACACTTAAAAGAAAATAAACTTTTATTTCTAAATAACAATGGGTACAATTTTTGTAAATAAGGAAAGCTGGGGTGTCCTAGTCTATGATGCAATAGCATAATTTCCAAATCAATTGAAGTAGAGATAGAGTTACACCTAGAAACTGTCTTTATTTGCACCGTTATTCTCAGATTTTGCTTTATCAAAGTAGTAGAGTCCCCCTCTTGCACTAGCATTGCCAATCATCCTTCCCGATAGAAAATTCTGAAATTCACAAGTAGAGGAAAACTTAGCTACACAATTCAATTCTTTAGTCAATTTGCTAATAGACAATAAGTTACAAGTTACATTTGGCACATAGAGAACTGAATTTAAAGTCAGATTTCTTGAAAGCTTCATTGTGCCTTTACCAGCCACCTTTACCATTGAGCCATCAGCCGTTTTCACACTCGAATTCCCATAACACGGGGTATAAGATATAAAAACATTTGAATTACCTGACACATGATCAAAGGCTCCGGAATCTATTACCCATAGCTTTTCTGTTTCAAGATCTGCACATAAGGCTGTATGGGAGTTATCTGTTAAAGCAAGAGAACATGAATGCCTAGCCAGATTAGATTGATTGAGAAGTTCCTTTAGATGCTCCAATTGTTCTCTGCTGAATGGAATAGACTCCTTTCCTTCTGAATTCTGGACAATATTTCCTTCAACTTCAGCAATAAAACCTTTCCTTCTAGTCTTATTAGCCTTCCAATTTGTAAACTTTGTTGGCTTGCCATGTAATTTCCAGCAAGTCTCCTTAGAGTGCCCTGGTTTACGGCAATACTCACACCATGGTTTCTCTCCTTTCCTCCTCAATTTCTGATCTCTTGTCGAATTCTTCCAACCCTTAGATGCCAGGGTTGACCCAGGTAATAGATTTGACATACCAGAAGAAGCAGATTCACCCATCATTACTTTCCTCCTACTCTCCTCTCTTTTGGTCTCTGGAAACACCTCTTGAATAGAGGGTAAAAGATCTTTGCCCAGAACTCTACCTTGTACTTCATCAAGCTCCTTATTTAGTCCAACCAAGAACTCAAATATTCTTTCTTTTTCTAACATCTTTCTATATTTAACGTTGTCCAGAGTTCAACTCCAATCAAAGTCCACAAACATGTCCAGTTCTTGCCATAATTAAGCTAAAATACTGTAGTACTGAGTGACCGACATACCATCCTGTTTGGTCTCCCTCAAGCGTGTTTTTAACTCAAAAACCTATGCTGAGTTTCCCATGTCTGAATATGTTTCATTTGCCATCTCCCAAATGCCCTTCGCAGTGGGAAGAAATAAGAACAGCCCTCCAAACTCCTCTTCCATCAAGTTGATCAACCAAGTCATAACAGTGCTATTCTCGGCATCCCATTTCTCATATGTCGGATCATCTTCTTCTGAAGCTTTAACACTTCCAGTCAAGTAGCCCAACTTTCCTTTCCCTCTTATCATTAATTTCATAGCCTGAGACCACGGTACATAATTTCTACCATTCAGTTTATGAACACTAATTTGAATGGAGTTCTGGTCCACATTATTATGACCAGTTAGATGAAGCTGATCCTTGCTGCTTGAGGAGGATCCTAACCTTGAATCCCTTGGAGGACTTCTGCTCCTTGGGGGACTTGGACTTCTCTCCTGTCTTCTACCGAGAAAACAAATCCTGATAATCTTTTATTTTAAACATATCTAATTGTATTACAAACTCTCAATTTATATAATTGAACTAAGACCCAAGTAGATAACTCTTAGACTAGGATTAGGACTCTAGACTAATATTATCTCTTTTTATTTCAATCTCTTAAACTAGATAAGACTTAGATAACTCATAAATTGATCATATTCTAATCTAGAAATCCTACACATCCTAAGTAGTGTTCTGATTTTCCATCCAAGTAATGTGTCATCCTATGTGCCTGATGTGTAAATGAGTTGATGTGTCATCCTTTGATTTTGAATGTCAAAAGGACAGTTTTTTGACAATGTAATTGCATTGATTGTCATTATTTTAAATCTCTTTAAAATATTTATGAAGAGATTCTTAAGAGGAATGGGTTATTTTGATGTTGCTCCTTGGTTGTCTTATTGAGTGTAAACGTGTACACACATACAGATAATCAGACATTGTGATGGAGTCACTTGTATATATGTTTGATTACATAGTGTTGCTCTTTTAAACTTTCTTCACATGTGCATTCTCATCTTTTATATTTCGAGTACTGTTTTGCACTTGTGTCATGCTAAAAGCCCATAGTCTTGCTTTGGTAGTGTATTAACATGCATAAGATTGCATAGTCTTGCTTTGGTAGTGCATTAACATGCATAAGATTGCCTTCTCTCTTCTCCATGAAGTCTAATTTAAAGTTGTTATGCCAAGGTTTTTGTCAGTTTGGAATTGACAACTGATGCAACGTTTCGCTTAGACACTGTAAAATATGCATTAATTGGGCTAATGCGGGATCTTAGAGGAATAGCGATGGCCACAAATAGGTTGGCAATCCTGTGAATTTCTCCAATGTAAATTTTTTCCCAAGGCCATGCTAATTTTTCTGTTTAATCCTCTTTCAGCCGCAGAACGTATGGTTTCCTTTTTGATTGGCTATATCCAGCACATATGCTGCTTCTTTTGAAAACCATTACACATTGGACTGATACTCCCGAGGTAAGTTGCAACCTGCAATATCAATGGTTTTGCATGGTGTAAATAGAAAAGCGAGCAACTCATCATCTTTTTTAAAATAAGAGCTGCTCACTTGCTATACTTAAGATGATTAGTTGCCATTTGAAAGGTTTTTTATCTGTAGTTATTTTTGTCTTGAGATAGTCAGGTATTTTCTTAATTATGTTTGCTTAGAAAAAGAGAACATGATATCTTTGATGTGTTTGCCAAAATCAAAATATATCCTTTAACTTTGTGATACAAGTTTCTGGTCTTTTATCAGTGACTTTTATACAACTGAAAATGTAAAAGTCAAACCTTGTGTTTGTATACATGACTCATGGTTTAGCACATGCCATTAAATCAAATAGCAGCAAGTCACACTTCCTGTCAAGGAATGCAGGTGACTAAAAGAAGAGGGAAATAACTTATCTGCAAGTCACGCAATCTTTAACAGTCTGGATCATGTTTGTAGATTGTGTTGAGAATTTCCTGCAGACCTTAATCCGGCTTGAAACATATTCTGACATTAAATATGATGTTGTAACCTTACCAATGTGCTAAGTTTATTATGTTGCGGTTTGATGCTTGCTTTTCTTATTTGATATAACCATCTTGCAAGAAACTATATAACTGTTACTTAGTTTTTTCTTTTAGTTACTTTTTCAAAAAACATTTTAAAATCCTTGCCTTGGGTTTTAGAATTTTAAAACTCTTATTTATGATGCTATTTAGTGATCTCCTCACCTGCAGACCTTATGTGGGAATGGAACACGTCCCTTTCTATGTTCAAAGGAACTTTTTCTGATACTAGAAAATGTCTCAGGTGACAACTCCGTTGTTGAAATTTGTGGCTGAGTTGGTACTGAACAAATCTCAACGATTGAATTTTGAGTCATCCTCTCCTAATGGTTTACTTCTCTTCCGAGAGATCAGTAAACTGATTGTTGCTTATGGGTCACGGATTTTGTCCCTTCCCAATCAAACAGATATGTATAACTTCAAATACAAGGGAATATGGATATGTTTGACCATTCTTACTAGAGGTATGGATTTTCTTTCTAAACTTTTGTTGGGTGGTTCGTCTTAATTGTTTAAATTAAATAATATCATTTGGTTAATAATATTTATTATGTCATATATATTTGGTCATCTACCAATGCTAATGGAAAATAATGGTATCTCAAAATCTATTCATCCTCAATTTTATTCACATCTATGTTGTTTTTGTTAGTAACATATTCACCAAACTTGGTTGCACAGTTTTTGCCTTCTTAAGAGTTACTTTGTTTTGCTATTGCGGAAATCTGGTCCTTTGTTTTAACTCTTTTTCTTATCAAGCACCTATCTTTTTGTTTCCTATAAAAAAAAAAAAAAAGGGTAATTTAGTCTGAGAGACCATATTTCATATAATATGTTGTCTTCTGTTTTTGACCAGTGGAATAGTCTAAGGGTCAGAAATGGTTGCAAGGAGGATTAGTTTCTATTTCTCTAATAATAAATAAATAAATTTTAACACCAATCTTCTTTTACTTCTATATTCTCTCAGTTAAAAGAATAGATTAAAACTATGGAGCTATTTTCTTCTTCGTAGATCCTCTTAAGTGTACCATAATTTTTTTTCAAATAGCATGTCATATATACTGAATTTTAAAAACTGAAATGAAATTTTGTTTATTTACTGTTAGAAATTTAATAATCATTATTTATAGGTTCTTCAAGCATATTTGAGCAAAGTTTGTTAAATTTTTATATTCTAACTAATCCTGCTAGATGCAGAATGTTAGAAATCATAATTTTCATTGTTTAAGAAAGTCTTTTCTTTTTTAATAATAATAATTATTTGTTATATATGTATGATTCAATTTTATTTTTTTCTTCATTGTTTTGTTAAAGTTCCAAGTATTTTTGATGAATTGTGAAACTCTCATAAATGGATAAAGTACATTGGATACAGGAAATCTAAAATAATCAGATATGTTCGATGATATATATATATATGAAAACTGGTTCTATTTTTTTCTTTCACAGAAAGTCAACATGTGCTGGCTGTTTTTCATGTGGTTTTTTTTTTCTTCCTTTTGTCATGACAGCTCTGTCTGGAAGCTATGTCAACTTTGGTGTGTTTGAGCTTTATGGTGATAGGTCACTCACTGATTCTCTTGATGTTGCTTTAAAGATTACATTATCAATTCCCTTGGCTGATATTTTGGCCTTCCGGAAGGTACAACTTTTTTCATTGAGTTTATGCATATTGCTCTAAACCTGTTTTTGCCAGTCATATTCATACAATGTATAATATCCTTGCTTTGTTAATATGCATAACCTCTGCTACATGTACCCTGCTTAAGCTCCAATGTAGTTTGTTTGTTTCTGTTTGGTGCACCATATATCTTATGCCATTGAGATGTATTTTGCTTGTTTTTAAATTTTCTATTCCATTATCCGTCTTATTTTAGAAGTAAATCAATAAATCCTGGTTGAGATCTCTTTCTTTCATTCTTTCTATAAGAAGTGATTTTTTTTCTTCCACTTAACATCTCTTTGTTTGTCTCATGACACGCTATCTGATTCAATTTAGTCATGTGACTGGCCCTGACCTTTGCCTTCTATAATTCTGTATTATGTACTTTGTCTTCACCATTCTGCTTGTAGTGTCTTGAGCATTTGAGTCATATTGCTTCTACTTTAATAAACTGTTGTGTTTAGATGGGAGTTAGTCATCTATTGTTTTACGTTTAAGTCCTTTTTCATGCATTCAGCCCCATGGCTGACAGGGTATAAGATTTGGATGGGAGAAGTCTATATCTTTATTCATCAAAATTGATGGCAGCAATTTTCTGGGGAATTTGTTTTTGGAATTTCTTTTCTCATATTGGTTTTTGTTTTATTGTTTGTGGGGTTGGTAGGAGCTTGGTGAGAACTATATTTTCTAATACTTTTGTCTGATAGGAATCTGCGGGGGAGTTTAGTTTTTGATACTGCCTTCCCAGCCTTTTCACTCATTGATCTATTCCATGTAAATCTTTTTCCTTTACTAATAGACATAAGGTTTTTTTCAAAAGTAATAGACATAGGAGTCCGTGGGGGAGAAGTACTTTTTATCTTTATTTACCAATGGTGGTTGTTGGCTGGAACGTTTCTACTTTTCCTTTGCTCTTGCTTTCTTTTCTTTTTTTAATTTTTATTTTATTCTCCTATTTTTCTTCTTCTTTGTTCATGTATATCCAGCCTTTTTATCCAGTCTTTATTCCAATATTAAGATATGATCTATCCTTATCCAGTGAGATTATCCCATCTGGCATGCCAATTAGATTTCATTTCTTTCTTTTACTACATATCTATCCTAGTGTGACGACTGATGATGCTTTGCTGTTTCAATATTATGCCTATTTGTAATATATACGTATCTTTTCTAGCTGAATAACTGAATAAATTGAAAGTTAAGATGGGTTGAAGATAAGGCTACCTTTATGTTCGAACACTTTAATAATAGTATAGAGTTTTCAATGCTTGCTTTTCATATCACATCACAAAAAAGTAGTGTGTTTTTCTGCTGGTTTTGGCTATTTATAGTTTACAAAGATTTCAAGTGTTGTGTTTTTTTTTTTCCAGCTTGCCACCGGTTATTTTGCATTTTTGGAAGTTATATTGAACAACCATTTGGCTTTTATATTGAATCGAGATACCAACTCCTTCATATACATCATTAGATCTCTTGAAGCGGGTCTTAAAAGTGTAAATACAAATATCATATCACAGGTATGTTTATAATTATTTGCCTATTTTAAGTTCTTCTGATTCTTTCACCACAGTGTTTTAATATTTTAGACCCTCTAGAAAATATCTTTTGGTCATGGACTACAGTATTCTTTATATATACTTTTTTAGATCTAATATATAAAACTATACATTCTGGATTTTAGAGCCTCTTTACTATTGTTTGCCTGGCAATGCATGATCCCTTAAAAAATATTGTTAGGTGATGGACTACTGTATTCTTATCTTTTTTTCTCTTATTATTTTCTGTTTAAAATATTTACTCCGCTCAGGCTATGTGATGCTTCCTACCAGTAACTAACTTAAAATGATATTGCAGTGTGCATCCAGCATTGACAATTTGGCTACTTTTTATTTCATCCACATTATAACAGGAGACTCACCTACTTCACCAGCTGCTCTCAATCTTGCAAAACACATTTCAGATTGCCCTGGTTTATTTCCAAATGTGAGTGAGCTGCAATTATCAGCCATGATTTGCTTTCATTTGTCATTCATATGCGTAAAGCAACTTTCCTCGTCAACATTAATTAACAAAAGTCTAAATGTGTTGAAGTATTAATTAACATGAGCTGAAACTCTCTCTCTCTCTCTCTCTCTTTTAATAAATGAAAGCTAAAAAGAAGTTAGTTCTTAGGTTGGAGACCATTTACTATTGGTCAATATAATATTACCCTTTTTTTTTTTCTTTTTTTTTTTTTTTACTCATAACAGAAAAGACGACTACAGTTATCTTACTTCTGCTTAGTTACAAAATTTACGCTGGAAATTTTTGGAGGAATTTTTAACTATGTAGTTGTGGTTCTATTGTGGAGATTAAATGTGTTATTCTTGGAACTTAGGAATTTTTAACTATGTAGTTGTAATTTTATTGTGGAGATTAAATGTGTTATTCTTGTAATTTATGTGGTCTGCTATTGACCAAGTACTGAAAATATTTATGTGATTTAAACATATCTATTAGATCTTTCTTAATTCTTAACTTATTGTTAAAGTACAGTTCAGACAAGTTCATGGAAAATTGAAGAGATATGTTGTTATAGTACTTACATTTGTTTGGAAGCATCAATGTCATCAATTCTTGTCTCTACCCTCTGATGTTCTGTACATATATGTATCTTTTTCACTAAACTTTTTTCTCTCTCTAGATATTGAAAACCATCTTTGAGATGATCTTATTGGAAGACTGTGGCTGTCAATGGAGTCTTAGCAGATCATTGCTAAGTTTGATACTTATAAGTGAAGAGGTAGTAATTTATTTATTTATTTTTCCAATCCCGTTGTCATAATCTTCATTACCCATCCTATTACCAAGGTTTTTTCCTTGGTTTCAATTTTTATTTCCAAAAGTATAGTTACAAACTCTCAGTATGGTTAAAAGATCACTGATGAATGATGTGAAAAATTTGGTACTGTTAAAGAAAAGTCAATAATTTTGCTATTTTAATACAAAGTTTATCGTTATAAAAGGAAAATATCAATAAATCCTATTTTAGAGAGAGAGAGAGAGAGAGAGAGAGAGAAGGAGGGAGGGACTTTTTTTTTAACACATGATATAAAAGAGCTTTTGTATGTTAAAAGGAGAAAAAACCAACTTTACCTCTCAGAGAGAGAATTCATGACTTGAAAAGCATTTTTGTTGTGGTGACAAAATGGTGATCTGATAAATAATACTGATCTTATGAGTATATTCTAAACTGAGATTTTCTTGGTATTTTGCAGATGTTCACAAATACAAAGGCTCAAATTCTGGCTTCACAAGTAAGTTTGACACATTTTGATTTATTACTATCTCTGCACTCTTTCTTGTTATCAGAAAGTTTGATCTAACATTGACCAGTCAATTAGCATGTTAAAAAGTCTCTTCTTGGTTCATGATATGATTAACTGTGTTTGCATGTTTTTTAGAATAAAAGGAAACTAACAGGTTTTATCGACCTTTTTTAAGGCTAAGCAAGGACTATACAAGACATTACTTAACAAACATGAAAGCACTAGCACCCTGCTAGAGTTGAAATATTATTGTTGAAACTCTTACCTAATAACTTAAGCTTTTAAAATTAAAATGGTATCAGAGTTAGGCGGACCAATTAGTTTTGTGTTCAATACTTCTAGTACGTCAGTTTTATTTTTTGTTGTATGTGTCTGTGGCTATGTTTGATCTAAGCTTTGTGCATTTGAAGTGATGTGTTAAGTTTAAATATTATTGTCTGCCCTTTTAATAGTTTTTAAGCTGCTGGGTTTAGTGGTAACTTAACACACGTTTGCCCTATCAGGCTAGTAATCTTTACCAGAGTTTTGCCTAGGTACATGCCAAACTGAAGTTGTGTATAGTGGACTGACTTGTATTATTTTCATATAATATAATTTTGTATACCCACATGTTAATATGTTGGTTTTATTCTGCTTAATAATCTGTCTCTTGTTCGTATGACCTCTTAATAGATTAGAAATATAAGTTTCTATCTTAAATTTAATCTCTTGGCATCTACAATATTTGAAAGTTCTCTACTTCCCTTCACCCTTCGTTAGTTTTATCTAATGATATGGTTGTGTCAGTTTATTGTATCTGCATTTTTCTTTGTTTCTTGTTCTTCTTTCTTCTCCTCTCCTCTCTATTCCTAGTCACCATTTATCTATTTGTTTCTTTATCTCCTGTATTTCGCTTCCTTCTTCTCTACCTCCTCATCCATTTCTTATTTGCTTTTCTTCTTTTGTTTTCCCTTTTTAGCGTCTTTTTTATTCTCTTTAATTTTCTTTCTTCTTTGTATTCTTTTTTGTTTGTTTTTAATTCTCCTGTTTCTTCATCTCTCTTCTCCCTTCATTTTTCAGTATGATGTTTACTCATATGCTTGAAACTGACTTTTATTTTTAGTTTATTAACTTTTTTATATGCTTCAATGTAGATATTTTTGATAACTTAGGTTGCAATCTAAAATGTTGTTTTATCAAGTTTATTTCACATGAAAGTTGAATATACATTTCTAATAAAAACAGAACTTTTGTTGTGCTTTCAAGGAACACCTTTGGACTTGAATTCTTTCAGTGGCTCATATATTTTTATCCATGGAAAGATATGATTTCATATCAGATTTTTTTTTTCTTTTTTTTTTAAAGAAAAATAAAGCATATTATTTACTGAAGAGATTAAAAAGAAAAAGAAAACGTAAAGTGAATTTGCCATCCACAACAGAATAAGAGAAAAAAACTGTACTCTACCTAAGAATCTTGGAACTGAAGACTGTTGCTTTCCTTTTCCCTTTGAAAGCCATAATTTCTTTCTAGAAGAACCAACTGAAGTTGAAAGCCTTGAAAATTGAACACTGTTTTGCTCAATATTCTGCTGTAGATGATATTTGTCTTTGGACTTCTGCTGATGACATGAACTAATGGGTGAAAAAGTGAATGTTATTCTGGACCATATTTTCTGTGCTTCCAAATCTCAATTTGCAAGACATGTTAATTAGTCACATGTATGGCTTCAGAGTTGTGTTATAATTGGATTAACTCTAATGCAGTCATGTCAAGAACAAAAGTATGGAAGTTACATGCATTAAAACAGAAAAATAATAATAATAATAATAATAATAATGCACTTCTGGCCCTTAGGTTTTTGCTTCACTTCAGACAATCTTATGCTGGTTACTGAACTGACAATCACTAATTTTGATATTGATATGTTTATTCTTGTGTATTACTGGAGGCTGCCATTTGGTTGTAGAATTGATTAATTCAGTCTGCAGTTTAGCATTGTGAAACAAGCTTCAGTTTGCCTTCTTGTTTTGTTTATGATATTGCAGCCTATGAATCAGCAGCAACATCTTTCCTTGTGCTTTGACAAACTTATGACAGATGTAACTCAGAGTTTAGATCCAAAGAACAGGGACAAGTTCTCACAGAACCTCACTAGATTAAGGAATGAATTTCGTGCCAAATAACTTGTTGCTGTAGCATCAAGAACCTATGTACATAACTTTTTCTTTTCTGTCTGATTTGTTTATTTTTCATCTTGCGTACAATCTTTTACTAGTATATACATAAGTAGAAATACATCCAGAAGATGTGTTCTATATTATTGTTACTATCATTATTTTAAGGTCTATTGATATATTCATTGAGAAAACCCTCATTTCTTTAGAACTATTGTTGATCTTAGATTATGTTGTTTTTAAAGAATGTCTGATTATACTTGATTTGTAAATTTACACTGATTAACCGATATGGAGTGCATGAGCTTAGTTATCTATATTTATATAAACTGATTGAACATGGAGTTCTTTTATAGCAGAAGTGAAATGTGGAATACGATTCATGTAAATTAATATTTTTGTTCAATAAACAATATGGACGTCTAGCACAAAACTGTGATTTTGCAAGCCATTTTGTGTGTTTCACAATTTTCATGATTTATTAATTTATTAATGTCTTTGAGATATCCATAGCACTTTATATAGAATTAGAAATANAATAATAATAATAATAATGCACTTCTGGCCCTTAGGTTTTCGCTTCACTTCAGACAATCTTATGCTGGTTACTGAACTGACAATCACTAATTTGGATATTGATATGTGTATTCTTGTGTATTACTGGAGGCTGCCTTTTGGTTGTAGAATTGATTAATTCAGTCTGCAGTTTAGCATTGTGAAACAAGCTTCAGTTTGCCTTCTTGTTTTGTTTATGATATTGCAGCCTATGAATCAGCAGCAACATCTTTCCTTGTGCTTTGACAAACTTATGACAGATGTAACTCAGAGTTTAGATCCAAAGAACAGGGACAAGTTCTCACAGAACCTCACTAGATTAAGGAATGAATTTCGTGCCAAATAACTTGTTGCTGTAGCATCAAGAACCTATGTACATAACTTTTTCTTTTCTGTCTGATTTGTTTATTTTTCATCTTGCGTACAATCTTTTACTAGTATATACATAAGTAGAAATACATCCAGAAGATGTGTTCTATATTATTGTTACTATCATTATTTTAAGGTCTATTGATATATTCATTGAGAAAACCCTCATTTCTTTAGAACTATTGTTGATCTTAGATTATGTTGTTTTTAAAGAATGTCTGATTATACTTGATTTGTAAATTTACACTGATTAACCGATATGGAGTGCATGAGCTTAGTTATCTATATTTATATAAACTGATTGAACATGGAGTTCTTTTATAGCAGAAGTGAAATGTGGAATACGATTCATGTAAATTAATATTTTTGTTCAATAAACAATATGGACGTCTAGCACAAAACTGTGATTTTGCAAGCCATTTTGTGTGTTTCACAATTTTCATGATTTATTAATTTATTAATGTCTTTGAGATATCCATAGCACTTTATATAGAATTAGAAATATTTGAAGGATTTTTTTTTTTTTTTTTTTTATCAATGTCAACAAGATAAATCTAATTGGATGAAGTTATAACAGCTTTCAACGAGAAATATTACTAATTTCATTTAAATTGATATAGTAAAATGCTTGTTAGCAATTGCGAAACTGATACGCCCAACAAACATCTTAAGAAGCTCAACCAAAAGGCTAATAGAGCATAGCATAAAAGGCGTTAAAGATACACAGATAGCCTTTGCAGGTCAAGGACTAATAGCAAGTATATTTGAAGAATCATTGAACAAAGTCTTAAGAAAATTACTTATCTAATTGCAAGAATATTTGACAAATGTCCTTGCCATTTCTATGTCATAACTCACTGCTTCAACATGCCACTTTCTAGAACATCCAATGCTTGCTAAGCATCAATTTTCATTTTCAGGTAATTTCTGCACCTTGGAATTGGTCAAACTTTAATCCAAGGTAACTGAAACCAAACGAGACTTAATCTTCATTCACATCCAATCAGCTGTCCAAAGAACTTGTGCATACAGTTGATTCTGTGCCATAGTTTCCTCAAACCCTAGGCCCCTGAGCCAATTGGGTAGCTTCCTATCAAAAAACAAAGGGGAAAAAAGCAGGAAACTTAATTAGCAAGATTCTTCCATACCAGGCAATGCCACATCGAAATACTGCACAAGGCTTTCGACAATATTATCTCAGAGCATAGAATGCTCCATTAAACACAAATTATAGCTTAGATATGAAAGAAATATAGATAGAATAAGAATGGCCAGCACCTCCAATTTAAGATGTTTAAGAGGACCTTCGAGAAACAACCTTCTAGAGAACTGAGAACAAATCGGTTGAGTTCAACCCAAAAAGTAGGATAACCTTATTTTATTCTTCTTGTTCCTCATATTTCACGTGCACCCAAAAGCTTTCAGAGAAAGTGCATGGCAGCGTACATATTAAAAAAAATTTGGGCTAGCAGAAGAATGTTTCTAAAACTTCAGGACCTTATAACTGATCCAAGAAGATTACTGAACAAAACATTTCCCCGCTCAATAATAGAGAACAATATCAACTAAAATTTATATAATAATAAAGCACAAAAGAAAGAGTACTTTTCAACTTCTAATCTAACATAAGCAGAAATTAAAATTCCAACCAACTTAATCAATTGATCTATCGGAACCAAATGCTTACTATTGGCAAGTCCAAAAGATAAATTGTTCATGTTTTCACAGTTCTGAGTCAGAGCAATGATTTCACATAAAAACATACAAGGTAAAAAATATGTCATCATAAACATCTTTCAGCGGCTACAACAAAAAAAATCAATCAAACAAATATTTTAATGGATACGTAGCAACATCTAATAAACAAAATCATGCATTAAGAGGAAAAAGCAACTTACCATCATCATATTTTGAGGCAAATTACTAAATGTATTTCTTGCTCAAACTTCTCCAAGGCATGCTGCTATAATCAAAGCTATTTGAATAATATAAGACATCATGTTGCAAGAGTAAAAGTTTGACATCTCGTTAATTTAAATCACCCCTGAAAGCATGTTCACTTTCACTACTACTTTGCTCAGAGCAGCTATCAAAATCTTCTTCAAATAAACTACATATCTGCCCAAAATTATCATCTGAATTCCCATTCTGAGAACTCTCTAATATTGGAATAACCCAATCACCATCTCCTGTACCTCCCTCATGTATTTTACCAACTCCATTGTCACTCTGCTCCTTAATGTCTTCTTCGTGTTGCAATTCTCTAGTATTTCGACACCCTAACAAGATAAGGTCCAACATTTTCCTTCTAACATCATAAACCGGATTGGGTTCAACCAAACATCCTTTACTATAGGCCTCTCTAAGAAATACTGTTTGAGTACTCCCTTTTGTAGATATATAAAAAATCCCAGGGTGCTTAAGGAGCAACTCTCGCACATTAATTTCCATAGCCAAATCCTTCCTGAAATGCACCAACCTCTCAACCTCAACCATTTTTTCAACTGTCAAGCTCAACAGCTCATGAATTATACCAACCGCACGCTTCTCAAACCTCTCAATCCCTCCACAAGTACGAACCCTCACCGAGTTCTGTTTCCTCTCATAAGGCTTAATATAAGGAAGCCGTTGCCAATTCTTCAACTTTTCCCTAAACCCTTTCCCAATCTCAAACCCCGTGGGAAAATTAATAGGAAATGCAAACTTAACCTCAAATTCACTTAACCATTTTTCTTCATATTCATTCTCCCTCCACTTTTCAACAGCTGCATCACCTAAATTCTCATCTCTATTAGCCAATTCAACAATCTCCAAATCAACCAACCTAAAATCACTACTATATTTCCCTAAAATAGATTCCCGAAAATCTTCAGGCAAACCCAATTCTCTTCTAATCAACCTCAAAGCATGAACATGAAGAGACCCATTTTGGGAAATCAATAACAACTTCTTGATTCTACTCACAGCATCAAATTCACACTGTTTTATAACACTATCTTCTAAATCTAACAAATATTTCATTCTAGCAGTCAATTTACAACAAAAATTTCTCTTCAAAGGGTGTGTAAATACGTGGAAAACATGAGGGTATTTGTGGATAAACTTCCCCATGTGGACATTTAATCCGAGAATGTTTTTCCAGCGAGACATCAACTGAACGGAGACGAAGGGACCGCGCTTTCGAGTGGAGAGGAGTTGGTGGATTGAGAGAATGGTTTTGAGGGTTTTGAGTTTGGTGGCGAGTTTGTCGAGCTTAGAGTCTCTTGTTCTGTTCTCGAGACGGGTTTGGGCTGACTCCACTAGCTTCTTCTTCCATCTCCTTTGTTCCCCAATGGCGATTTGATGAGATAAAGTGTGTTTCCGAAGAGTTTTGAACACAATCATCTTTCTCCCTCCAAACAACTCTGCATACTCAAGCTAAAACCCCTCTCCAATCACGCTCAACTCCATTGCCAACGACACATTCACATACGGCGAACAGATTGATGGAGCTTTCCAAGGTGGGTTCAACAAATCAGATGCATTCAATTCTTGTACCGTTGGGGTTTGTATTTTTGGTGGATAAGCAAGACGCAATTTTTTTAGTAATCAAAATGCCTAGGCACTGAACTGAAGAACGAATGCATCGTATTAAAGAATTGAAGGAAATTACTTTTTAGTCCTAAATTATTTAAAGAGAAGATGTTGTATATTTAAAATCAAAATTAAACCAATTATTACTTTCCTTCTGTTTTATAAAAATTATTGAATAACACGAAACTGTTTTATGCACAATTTATGATTTTATTCTACTAATTTTTTTTTGATATATATTTATTAAAGTTATTGGATTTATTTCTATCCTTTTATTTTTTTTCAATTTCAATTAATTTTGTACTTTTAAGAATTTATAAGTTTGTTATTATTTTTTTTTTAATAAAAATACATGTCATATGAATCTATAATTGAAGCTTAGCAATGTGTACATCTCATTATATATTTGATGACTAAAAGACGTTCCCACCTGAGGTTTAGCGAAATGGTAAGTTGATACTATTAGTTTTATTTATTCCAGATTCCTATCATTACAGTAATACCGTTAGTAACAGTTGGGTTCTCACCTAGATACAGAGCGTGTTATTATTAAACTTCCCTTGAACCTTTTGGAAAAATCACCCCATTCCAAACCACTACCGCTAACCTTTGAGGATGAAGAGATCTTGCAGTTGAGGTTGATTGGCTGCTAGAAAACACACACAATTAACAATACAACCATTGAGGATCGGTCATCAACACCAATCAACAGTCAATTTCAGCAACTTCGACGATCCAAGGATGATTTCATATCACAAATGAGGGTTAGGTGTGCATGAATGGAAAAGGAAGCGGTTAGCAATTTGGGGGTTAATCGGGTGAAGTGTTTGAGGGGTTCTGGTGTGTGAAGTGTAGGGAGTAATTTGGTGGTGATGGGGTTGGCCGATGACGTCGGAATCAAGCCATAGAGCTTGATTCGACGGTTGCACCTGGAGGAGTTTTTGGTTCCCTGAAATTGGTGTTAATCCTTTTAAATCACATTGCATTGACAAATGTGTGTCGGCTTCTCAGCGAAATTTCGTCGAACGATTGGTGTGCAACCTTTGATGATAAAAACAAAGCTAACATTGGAGTAGAATGATGATTGGAAAAATAGCAAACACGACAACACAACAATGCAACAATCTCCAATAAACAAGTTCAACAAAATGCTTAAAATGTCAAAAAAAAAAAAAAAAAAATTCCCAATTTGACATTCAACTAAGCACCTTTGAGAGGAGACGACAATAAATTGACAACAGAAGAAAGATGAGTTTGAGAGGGGTTTTGAAGTGGAATAGCAACTGGTTCGAATGGCATTGGTTGGATGCATTTCCGGTGAGTGGGCCAACCTAAGAAAGGAGAAGAAAGCGCGACAAAGTCGCAAATCCTTAACAAGGTGGCTAGTGGCTATCCAGATTTTATGAATTGGGCATCCACTGCTGTCAGATTATCAGTGGCCTTAGTGCATTCAAGGATAGAACATCTAATACTCTTAGAAATGTTTGCTTTAACGAGCATTAGACTCAAACAGTTCAAGCGTTCCCAATTCTCAAAATGGACTTTTTCAGTTGGCGTACTTAATTCCGTAATGGCATCTGGTTTGCAAACGCCAAATCCAAATCCATATGCCACTACGGAATTAAGTACGCCAACTGAAAAAGTCCATTTTGAGAATTGGGAACGCTCGAACTGTTTGAGTCTAATGCTCATTAAAGCAAACATTTCTAACAGTATTAGAAGTTGCTTCTGACCCCATTTTCCAACTCACCGGCCTAGTTAGTAAATACGGGTACGGCAAAAAAAGGTACGGGAATTTTACGGGTACAATACGACAAACGGTGAAAAATACCTTTATAAAAATTCGATCATAAATTTCAGATACGGAAAAAATACGGTACGAGTATATACGAGTTTAATATGGTGCATTGTCAATAATACGTTTTAAAAAATACGGCAATATCAATCTTAGTTTTAACACTTTTATGGACTACGGTGGTAGAGATGCCAAAGGAAGATATAGAATCTGGCTGATTACAAGCATTTTGGTATCAATAACTGAAGTGGATGGTCTTGATGATGACGAAAATGCTGTAACAGAGAGGCACACAAAGGATATTTACTTGAATTTTTAGTCTTTTAATCATTGTGCAAAATTGCCACCCTTTAAATTTCTGAAATGGTTTCCTTACATAAGCTTCTGCCAGTAAATAAAGTATTGTAATTAGGTTCAGGTTATCTCAAGAACAACAATCATGTGTTGTTACCATAATACTAGGTTCAAAAATCAAACCCAACCCAGAAGGGAATTGTATATAATCAATTTCTTTTGGTGTAATTTTGATGATCTTGTTCTTAATCAAACCTTTATCATCTTTTAAGCTATGTTTCAAAACCCCATCCGTTGTGAGACCTGATAAAGTGACCAAGTCGCGGGTTGGAGCGGTGATGTTACCAATAAAAGATGGACCTGCAAATTTTAAACCTGATGCATCTTTTTTTCCTGATCAAGTGCATGGGCATTTTTATCAACCGCCTCTCAAAGACCTCTACATCTTTTGACTCATCAGAGCCCGTCTGAACCCTCTCCTCTACTTTCTCATCCCCAACCCTAACTTCTACAGGCTTATCAACCCCATTTTCCATTTTCAATGGTGTAGCTTCAAAACCCTAGATTCAAGAAAAACCACCAAAACCCACTTAACCAAACAGATTAAAAATCAATAAAAACCCATTACAGTCATCAAAAACCAATCACAAAAACACCCACCACATCAAAACCCTATAACAATAATCCATCTCCGATTCAAAAACAATATGTACCTCAATAAAAAAAACAGATCTTTCTCTTTTCCCATAACTAATTATAATAATCAACTGAAAAACAACAGATCTTTAAAGCGTTTTCATATGTTTTCATTAAAGATTATGCAAGACTTATAATCAAGTCAGAAACTTTTCCGTCATTCAATAAAAACTAAACATTTGAACTAAAATTAGAAACATAACCCACCTAGAAAAAATGATCACTTTACCTGTATTTGTGTAGGTTTTCGATTTCGATGAAGAAGATTGGATTAAGATGGAGGAAGTAAATTGAAGAAGATGAGGATGTAAGTGTAAGCTTTACACTTTAGAGTGAAGAAGATGACAATGGGAGTTGCCGCTCGACTGAAATGAAGCCGCAATTTGGAGATGCAAATTTGCTGTAGGAATTAGGAATAGGTTTTCTTGGGGATTGGATAAACCCAACATTACTGCAACGGTTTAAGCCACTAAAATGACGTCGTTTTGGGGGTGAGATTATTATTATTTTTTTCAATAGTTTGCGAATAATTCGCGAATTATACGGGAATAATTCGCGAATTATACGGGAACCTTTATTATACGCGAATTATACGGTAGATTTTATAAAATACGTATACGTGCGTTTTATACGCGAATTATATGGCTATCTGTACAATTCGCGTATAATACGCGTTTTTACTAACTAGGCTCACCGGCCCTTCCTCTTCCTCAAAAAACAATGCAATTGGGTGGTGAGGTTGGTGACTGGTGTTGTGGGTGGTGAGGTTGGTGACTAGTGTTGTTGGTGGAGGTCGATTGTTTGGATCACATTATATGACCATTTTAGCCTTTAACTATTAAAATAAAAGAAACAATGTTACTTTTAAGGGTAGAAATTAGAATAAATAAAATCAAGGGTATCAATAATCATTTTGCTAAACCTCGGGTAGGAACATGTTGTTTACTCTATATTTCATATTTGATTGATAAAAGATAAAGGGTGTATATATAGTTTTGTATTTAAGAGTTTAACTAATTCCCCTTGAGATTTACCCAAAATACAATATATGCCCTCAGGTATCAAAAAATGCAATTTCAATTAAATAGTGCAAGAATTTGACTACTGCAAGAGTGAAATTTAGTACCATTAAGAAGTTCAAGTTAGATCTTTATTTGAAAGAGTTAAGGCTTGATTGTATCAAACATCACAATATAGATATCCTCGACTATTGGAAGAATAATTCTAATCGTTATTTGATACTTGTCATGATAACTTGTGATATTATGAGTATACCAATAACAGTTGTTGCTTCGTAGTTCGCTTTAGTATTTGCAACAAAGTGCTTAATAAATATCGAAGCTCATTTCGACCAGATAATGCACAATCTTTGATATGCACTTGGACTTGGCTGTGTAGATATGAAATTAAAGGTAATATGTTAACATAATATCTCAAATGTTTTATTATTTTCGTTTGTTAATATAGTAAGATTGTTAATGCCATAAGATATTAAATATTTATAGTTGTTAATTGTAGATGATAAAATGGACGATGATCGCCTTCTTATGCTATTAATCAACTGGGGATTACATAATCAAGGGAATTCACTAACATCATTGTTGTGTAATGAACTTTGCTTGAAGTAATCTGGTAATATGCTTGCTATTCTTGTGTTATTTGGTAATGTAATTGTGCCTCAGGTAGAAGTTTTGCTTTTTGGATCATTTAATTTTTTGTTGATTGATGACTAAATTGTTTTGGTACACAAATTAGAGGAAATAGATTCTGGCCATGTGTGGGTTCAATTTGTTCAGTTTGTGATATTGGGTTTAGTTTGTTTAGCTGGTGATATTCCCTCTTAAATTGTATTGTGAAATAGTTTTGATTTGAGGTATCTATCACTCTTTATTTGTGTGATCATTTAGTAATTTAATGTATACTTGTTTTAACAATTTTCATTTGGTTTTTTATGACTTTTGACTTTTTTTAATGGTTTTTAAGTTGATCTGTCGTTTATATTATATAACTTTGATTTGAGTTTTATTTGATTTTATATTGAAGAATATGTTAAAAAAATAAGTGACCCGCAGATCCACCCTTACCTGCAAGGGTCGGGTATAAGTTTTATATTTCATTATCTATTTGAAACTCCAATCTATTTCGTCAGTATCTATTTTGATTTGGTTTGTACCCGCCTGGTCCACCTGCTTGTCAGGTCTAGAGCTCTAGTTATCTAACGTTGGATTTGTTGGAGGGGAGGGTGCAGGTGGAGCATCTAAGAAGACAGAAAGATTGGTGGGGCGATTGGGAAGAAAGAAAAATGATTGATTTTTTTTTTCTTAATTTAGAAAGCTGATTTTTTTTCCTTTTATTTAAATAAGTAATAACTAATTTTATAAAAAAACGTGTCATGCCTTAATCTTTATGACGCAGTTACCGTATTACCCTTCATCTATCAAATTTAACGTTAATGTCGAAACGGCAGTTAAGGCACGCTGACCTCATGGGGCAAATTGTATTTTCCGATTCTTGAGCGGATATATTGTTATTTAGGTAAACCTTAGTGGGAAATAAAACTTTTAATATAATATATTGAAGATAAAAGATAAAGAGTATATATAAAATAAGTATTTAGAAGATAAAATATGAATAATGAAAATATAAATGTAAAGATTATTTTGTAAATGAACAGGGTTTATTAAGACGAATTAGAAAGGAGTTTATATTTTATAAATGATAAATGAGAGGGGCGATTAATATTTTAAAATTACTCTTTTAATAATTACTCTTTTAATATTTATATTTTAATTAAAAAAAAAACTAATAAATTGGCTTAAATTAGTTGCATTGCAATTTGCAGCTCAAAATACCACCCATCAACATTTCAACTTCATACTGGTGTGGTTTCAGCTCTGGGTTTCATTATCCTTCAAAACCCTAAAGCTTTTGGGGTTTTCGCCTTAAAACCCTAGACCTTTTGAAGTTTAAATTTCAGAAATTTGAATAATTTTACAATGCCTTGTTTTCCTAATCCTGGTTCTGTTACCATTTGTGAAATCAACCGAGATTTGAGTATATTCCTTCTCTGTCTTTATCTCTTTCTGTACATTTTAATTCAATTTACAATCTCTGATACAAATTTATCATCTTTTTGCAGTTACCGCTGATAATCTATCTGATGATCGAGCTAAAGACACTTACGGAAAACTTCTCGTATGATTCATTTTTGTTTAAAAATCAAGTATGCTTAGTCTGGCAGTCATTCAAATTCAGTTGTTTCCTTTATATATTACAGGGAATGGTGTTCAGTCCGGTGCCGTTTCAGAGTGATGAACCCGATCAGCATGAAACTGAACAGGAAGGGATAAGACACGGAGAAACAGAGGGTTTTTTGTCAACGTTGCTGGGACTTAAACGCATTTTTCATCCCAATCATGTATTTTCTTTTCTTAATTACTATGCCTTTTTGTTTTATTTCCTGATTGAATTGGCAAAGTTTATTTATTTATTGCTTGTAATGTGAAGCATAATGCTTAGTTGAGGATTGTAATAAGTCTGACATTTGGTTAGTTGTTACTAGTATTTAGCACGACCCTGTAATTTGTCGTAAATGGATTTTTTTCATTGTATCTGTTTAGGTAGACAATCCTCTTTTTAAGGAATTTTGGGTATTGTTCTCTTGCTGTGGGATTTTCTCAGTGTGATGGAATGTTTTATTTCATTCTTTTTAATTATGTAACTGATTTGATGTTCTGGAATTACCAAATGTGGGTTGGTGTCTACATTAGAATCTCAAAAGTTTACCTCCCAAGGTAGAAAACAGAATCTTGCTAATGAGGTTTATTTGTTTGTGGTCTCCTCTACTAGTGCTTTGCATGATTTTAGGATACTGCAATTTAAGAATTTGATTAATTGTGCCATTAGTACTTTTGTGTTACAATTGGCAATTTATTTTAAATAATTGATTGCACTGATATTTCATGGTTGTTACTCAAGTTTGAAGATAATGAATAGTACAATATAAACAAACTTAGTCAAAAGAGATCAATGTTAGAGAGTACAATGCCATGCGGAGGCACTGCCATATAAGAAAAGCTGTAGGATTTTATTGAATTACTCTTTTACTTCATAAGGTCTTGTAGGTGAATTTGTTACCTGAGGTTGATCTTCAAGGTGTAAGCTGGCACTCATATAAGCATATCATTGCATTTATCTCTGGTGCGAATCAAGTTTTAGTTCGCGATTATGAGGATTCAGGTTTGTGTTTGATTTTATTTTTCTTTTTAACTATATTTCAGTAATTTGTTGAGTGCACTAGCTACTTATTTTCTATTTTCTGTTAGCATTTCTATTGTTGAAGAGATTACTCCTAGCCTCTTTTATTATATACATACTCATAGAACTTTAATTTTGAACAGAAGGGAAGGATCCATGCATTTTGACCAGTGAGTCTCAAAGAAATGTTAAAGTTCTTGAGTGGAGGCCGAATGGGGGGAGGTCTCTCTCTATAGGATGCAAGCAAGTACCATGTTGCCTCATTATTTTTCTATTAATTTGCTTGGGCTAGCACTTTATGGTAGAATTTTTCTTATGAATGATGAAGCCTATTTAACTTCTCAAGTCTTGAACTGAACTTTAGGGGTGGAATTTGCATATGGGCTGCTTCTTATCCAGGGAATGCAGCATCTGTGAGATCTGGGGCTGCTTCATTCTTGGGAACCCTCTCTAGAGGCTCTGGAACTCGATGGACTCTAGTTGATTTTCTCCAAAGTGGGAATGGAGAACAAATAACGGGTCTCTCGTGGAGTCCTGATGGAAGATATCCTCATCTATTTACATATGGATTATTTGCGAGATGTTATTTTGATTTTATTAGTTAAATTGAAATCTAGATATTACCTTTATCATTTTAGAGCTTACAGGGCAATTACGGATTATCATTAACATGCCATCTCTCTCATTCTTACAGTAGTGTAATAGTAATTTATTTATTTATTTTTTATTTTTTATTTCTAAATTCTGAATTGCGTTTTACTTTATTAAGCAGTCTTTGGATATTTCATATTTAATTACAATCTGACCTCTTTCTTGGTCTGTTCTTATTGGTCGGGTGTTTGCTCAACATATAATTATGAATATCCTTGACCTATCTTTACATGTTTGGCATCAGCATCATATGAGAGCTCATCATTTACCATATGGGATGTTGCTCAAGGTATAGTACTGATTAGATTCAATTAGTTTTCCTTTGGAATATTCTTTTGCACTCGAGATTTGTTTCCTAGTTTGCTGGATAAATTCTGAAGTTAGTTGACATTATTTTTACCATTGCCAAGTAGCTCCTTCATCACTCTTGAAATTTTTTATGATGTATATGCATGTGGAATATAGAAAAACAACAGTTTGTGGTTTATGTTATTCAATGAGAAGAACATAATAGTTTGTATGTCTTTTCCACTGCATGTCTTGAAGCTCTGCAATATAATGCTACATTGTAAATACATTATCTAGTTTATTGTATGAATAGTCTTATCAACAAAAGAATGCTCAAGACGTACCAAATTGAGAATTTTCTTTTTCTTGAAATCAGAGAAGGCTAGACTTCTTTATCCAGTGATATTCATAGTCTTATATAACATTTCAGGGCCAGGGGTACCTATTCGACGTGGATTGGCTGGCATATCAATACTTAAGTGGTCCCCAAGAGGAGATTACTTTTTTTCTGCAAAATTGTACAGTCATAACAGAACTCACTTTTATTTACTTATATGCTTTAATTAAACAAACTATGAACAGTTTAGGAGATGTATCATAATGTTTTTGTTCATTTCAGTGATGGAACATTTTATCTTTGGGAGACTAACACGTGGACGTCTGAACCATGGTCTTCAATTAGTGGCTTTGTCACGGTAAAAAAAATAACGTTGATGTTGGTGACTGTTTTTTCAATTTCATGATCATAACTCAAAAACTATTGTTATTCAGATGTTGTTTATGTGAACCATGCATCCGATTCTTTTTCTTTATTATGTTTTTCTTCTGAATATTGTTATGAATGATGTATGGTTTATATATGAATTTATCTCCACCATCTTGTGTTGTGTGCAAAAAAAAAAAAAAAAAAAAAAAGTGAAAGAGCAGACCACTTGTTTATTTGCTGTCCAGTAGCGGTCAGATTGTGGCATACTCTAATCAAAGAAGCAAAAATATCACTGGAAACACACAAATCTGGTTCTTTGCTTATGGAAAACTTGTTTGGTTTTGGGAAAATGGAGAAAGCCAGAATTTTTTGGTGGTGTGTTTTGTGAGCTCATATCGATTATTTGACTAGAAAGCCAGAAGATTCTTGACTGTTTGTGGAACAAAGTATCTTCAATGCCTGATCAGGATTCTTTACTAATTGAGTGGTCAACTGGTCCTCAAAATAATATAATTTCACAGTTTCCTATCAAAGAAAAAAAAAGGAAAAAAAGAAAAGAAAAAAAGAAAAGAAGAATGGTATATAATTCAACCTTCTTCTGTTTTAGTTTTATAGTGACTTCATCTAGTTTTCTTGAATTTTTACCTTTATTGATTCAAACATAATCACATAAATCTGATTAGGATGACATTAAAAGTACAAAGACCCTTTATGAAAAGTTGTGCTGATTGACTAAATGAGCCTTTTGCAGTCTTTTTTAATGTCATTTGGCTTCATTGCTCATGAGGATTAACATGTATTTCTACCATACATGTGTACTGATTTCTTATTTTATCTTGGACTGGATTCAATTTATTGTTTTGACAAGGATGGCATAACCAACTAGATAATTAACATCTGTGAGTAAGTTGTAGTTTTTCATTTAATTTCATGCTTTATTTTTTCTTGTCAAGTATAATTGTCTTGGGTGCTTCTCATTATACAGTGGGATAAGTTTTTAACTACTTGGCTTTCATTATTCATTGTTGTTATCAGGGAGCAACATGGGATCCTGAGGGACATATGATATTGCTTGCTTTCTCTGGGTCTTCAACATTGGGCTCTATACACTTTGCATCAAAGCCTCCATCATTGGGTATGCTTGCTTGCTTATAAGTTCTTTAAGTTCTCTGTCACCGGTTTCTTTGAGTTAAAGACATTGAGAGACAGTGCATTGGTGTAAGTTTCACGATCACTCATTTTCTTATTTTTTGACGTTAGAAATTGACTGTTTGACTCATTGATTTGAATAGGAATTAAAACAAAGCTTAAGAAATGGAACTTATATGTAAAAGTATTTGAGAAACTGAATAATTGTTCTTTTCCTTTCAAAAAGAAAAAAGGAATGAAACTAATTTGCGGGAGTTTGCAATACTATGTTATTTTTTTTATTAGAAATACAAAATGTATAATATGAAGAGATCTTTCAAACTAAACAATCGATCCGCTAAAAAAGGGCTAGCCTAAGAAAGCTAAAAGATATATACCATTACTCAGTTTGATGAGCGTGCACTAATATATGTCATGATAAAAAAGATTGTCAGAGATAGGACTTGACTGATCGCTCCCAAGGAGAAGTAAATCAGAAGTTTTGGCATATTTAGTTTCTTTTTGACAGTCTTAGAATTTAAATGTTTCAAATGTGATTTTTTCACAAATATTTGCATTGCTCTTTTTTTTTTTTTTTTCCCTCTAAAGAGTAGATTAGTCCATTAATATCAATATGGTGACTGTAATTTCTTTCTTCGATAATTCTCTGCAGATGCACATCTACTACCTGTTGATTTGCCAGAAATAATTTCCTTAACAGGCAGGTAGAGAAAAAAAAACCTTTTATTTAGTGTTTCCCAATATTTGAAAATTTATCATTTTTTCTTTTATTTATTTTATGTTTTGGATAAAATCATGAGTGTTTTTATTTATTTAATTATTTATTTTGTTCTATTTTAAGAAACAGAAATTTATATTATGGTGAAAATTTTCAAGAATAGAACAAGAAATCACTTCAGTAAACAGGAAAGCGAAAAGAATTACTAAACATGACAGCCTAGGACTTCCACGCACGACCAGGACATTCAGAAGTAGCCCTACAAGTGCAAAGCTAGACTAAAAAGTATCCCCAGAAAACCCCACTTCCACAAACTAGTTAAAACAAAGACACAACTCAAATCGTAAGACAATTGCTTCCCAACTATGATGAATAAAGAAGTGGAGAATTCTCTGAATATCTGAAGTTACTGAAGCCCAAAGAGAAGCACATAATATTACTCTAATCCCTTTAAAGGGAGATTTCTTCTTCCAAATGATCTTCAAAGATCCTCATGTTCCCTTCTAACCTAACTACCCCAAAAATACTTCCAAAATACAGAAGCTTTCTACTATTCCTCAAAGGCACTATGATGCTTAAACAGCAAGAACATACACAGGATACAAGGGCACTATGATGCCCAAACTATCAAGTGGTTGTTTAATGCCCGAGGGATTATCTTTTGTCACACTGAGTCATATACCTTTGACTCAATGAAAAACTACATATAAAGTGAGAAAAGAACTCAAAAAAATTTGAATCTTCCAGTTCTATATATCATTGCCAGTGTTATTACAATCAAGTAGTTGTCCGAGGATTTATCTTTTTTATCATGTATTTGCCATAGATTCAGCCATAAATTCAAGGTTTTGTTAGCTTCAAATTGACAGATGTTAACAGGAAAAACATTTCCAACTTTATATGGTTCTGTGTATCACACAATTTTGAGTTTGAGTCCAGTTATTTGTAGAAGCTAACAAAACTCAATTCTTTTATTTAGTCATTCAATCCATTTAAAATCTTGTAAGAGTCTCTCATTCATGCGCCAACACCCAGGTAAAATTAGAGTTGCCTTCTCAGGTTAATTTCAAGATTATGTTTCCTTCTATGTTATTGTTATTAATAAAATGATTTACATGCTGTAAGGTGCATATGTTCCAAATATTTTTCAAAATCAATGCCACAACTTAGCATTAATCTGACTACTCTTATTTTTGCATGTTATATTGTGCAGTCAAGGAATTGAGAAGATAGCATGGGATGCTTCAGGGGAGCGATTAGCTGTATCTTATAAAGGGGGTGATGATATTTACAAGGGTCTGATTGCAATATATGATGCTAGAAGGAGTCCTTTGATTTCCGTATCACTAATGTGAGTTGTTTTTTCCACTATTAAGTAACTGCTTAACATGAAAACCATGAGATGATAAGGACTTAAAGATTATTAAGCTCTAAACCTGTTTAAAAATCTCTGCTTTTGGGCCATTATACATGAATGCTGGACTCAATTCCAACTATCCAAATTAATGTGACCTAACGATGTTAAATATTGTAAGAGTTATGAAAAAAAAGGCATTGCGATGGATCTTTTTATATATGTTCTTATTGACTTTGTTATATAATTGTGAGTATCATTTTGTTTATATGATTTGAATGATTTAGACGAGGGTGACCTTTGCAATTAGTCTGTGATTAATTTTGGTATTTGTATTGTATGAATCAGCGGTTTTATTAGAGGGCCTGGGGACAATCCGAAACCACTCGCCTTTTCATTTCACAATAAATTCAAACAGGGACCATTGCTATCTGTGGTAAGCCCTCACTACTTACTCAACATTTCCTTTTTTACTTTCATGTTTTTGAAACTCCGGAACCTATTGAGCACACATTGTTGTGTGAACTGCATGTTTTTAATTTCATAATGGAGAACTTGCTACAGATTGTGACGTTTGTGTATTGAGTTTTGAGACTAGTCATATTAATTTCACCACTTAAGGAATTATGCATTTTGTCTTCTTCATTAATGCAGTGCTGGAGCAGTGGATTTTGCTGTACCTATCCTCTCATTTTTCGATCTCATATTCTTCCTTAGTCAAGGTATATATGACTTTCTTCTAGTTTTATTTTATTTTTTAAACCACATTTTGTAAATAGTAAAAATGCAAATTCCTTTTAAGCTACTTGTTTGAAGTTGTGTGTCACTCTTAATAAATTGTTTGGCTGATATTGTTCCTCCATTGTTTCCAATGAATGTGTAGTAATAATTTAGCAGCCCAACCAGAGGTGGTGATGAAGAAGGCAGATGCAATCTTGGGACAAGGTATAGTATTGATTCTCCTCTGAAGGATTAGTACTGTCACTGAAACAGTAAAATATTATTTACCTTCTGGATTGAAAAATAATATATAGAGATTGATTTTCTTCTCTCTCTCTCTCTCTCTCTCTCTCTCTCTCTCTCTGTCTCAATAGTTGGAACATGGGACTATATGCTTTGAGAGGCAAGCAGGGAAGCTGTGTTAACTTTTGTGGAAACAAATGGGTGATGTGATTATTTGGTGAAGAATCCAGGGAGTCTTTTTTAAGATGTATTAATTTTGATATGCAATGTAGATGCTATTTTTGAAGAGTTGGTTTCTTGATAAATAATTAAGCTATAAACACTAATTTATAAAAATCACACATCTTTAATACAACTTTTTATATAAAAGATAAAAGAGATTAATTAAATTTATCTTGTTCCATAATACAAAAATTATAGAAAATTTAAATGAATATATTATCACTAAGTTAATGTATAAAAGTTTGAATTGATCAACTCAAATCTTTTAATTTAAGATTAACAAATTAAAGATGTTTTGACACATTTTAACTTGCAGAATCAGTGTTATTGTTGGAATCACTTGGTTAATGATAAAGAAATAGCATAGTCATTGAGAAATTTTCAACTAATTTTAAAAATATTACGCATTTTGTCTTCTTAAATAATGCTTTGCTGAAGCTGGTCTAAGGATGGCGAAATCCATGGAGGAATTGACCCTCCTGAATTTTTTTTTTTATAAGTTCATGTTGTATATTAATTTAATCCTATACATTTTGATTTTCACATAAATATCCTTAAAAATTTCAATTTAATCCTTCTAAATTTTGCAAAATTTCTAACAAATATTAATAATTAAAGATGATTATCTTAGTTTTAGCTCTATTAAGTGTTCATTAATGAGTTTTATTCAATGTATTTTAAGCATGTTGAGTACAATGGCTTATATAAAATATCAATATTAAAGTACCAGTCATTCCCTATAATCATATTATTGTTTGTAATTTGACCCCATGCCTTAAGTTCTCGGCGAAATCAAAGGATAAATTTCCAAAGCTTAGAGGATCTTCCCAAGATACAAAACGGTTATTAAAGAGCAGGTGGCATGACGAAGGAATAAGAAAATGATGTCAAAAGTGGAGGCAATTTTAAAGAAAAAAGTTGGAATATTAAGAAATATAGATTAAAAATATGAAAAATTCACCATTAAAATTAAAAATTTGAGGAATTAATTATTAATACTTCTACTGTTAAATCTCAATAAATTAATATTTGATAAATTAATAATTTTGATTAAATAATATTTATAAGCTTTATGCTTTAGGTAACAATCTTTATAGCCCATATAAATCGAAAGAAAACACCATTTACGGGGGGGTTTAGTTTGGGATCATTGTAGTTTGTTCCATAATTATTTATAGGTCAACTTTATAAATAATCTACTAAGATAGTTGTTTTTCTTAAATTTAAAATAACTTTTGTTTTTAGGAGATGATATATAAACAATGTCAAGTTAAAAAATAGTTATATTTGAAATCATTTTTTTCTATTATTAAAATCAATTTAAATTCAAGTTTTTAAATAAAAAAATTTGAAATTAAAAACTTAGACTAGGGAGTTGCCGAAAAATAGTCGTTGGCGGTGGCGGCCATTGTTGCTAAAAAACTTTCTGGCGGTGAGTGGGATGTCACCACTGGCACCATTCCGCTCACCTTCTGTCGATTTACGCACTGGTGCTGGCAGTGCTGTAAAATATTATGGTGTTTTGTCGCAGCGAGCCGGCAAAATTTGGCCAAAAAGTTGTTATCACATTTTTTCATCAAACAGTTGGCACCATCATATAGATTTTCGGTCGAAGATTCCAATGGTGCAAGTGGTTTACAGTTCATCGGCGATGGTCTTCGGCCACTGCTGGCGGTGGTTGGCTAGCAACTATGGGTCAATTTTGATATTTTGATATTTTTACATTTTTTAATTATTTTATTAATCTAATTTTAAAAGTTAATTATAAATTAGAATGTATGTAAATCTTAGGGCATTTTGGTAATTGACTATTCTATAAGTGTTTCTGAAATCTAAAAGCTAGAATTAGGGTGAGTTTGGGAGTGCTCTTATTTCTTAAGATAAAAGTGTTTGGTAATAGAGATGGCAATGGGTCAAGTATTTCCGGATACCCGACCTGACCCGTCCTAAAAAGGTCAGGCTTTACCTGGTGTTAGTAGGGTTGGGCTTGGGCTTGGGCTTGGGCCTAAGACTGATTTTAAGGCCCGTCCTTTGGTACAGGCCGGGCATGTGTATGTCTTCAGTCCCGACTTGATAATTTTACTATTAGTTTTAATAAATTACCCTTATACTATATATCTAATTACAGAATTATCTTACATATATGAAAAAAATTTGAAATTTATTAATATTTGATGAGTATTAAAAAATAAATTAGTATTTAAAACTGCTTCTAAAGTTAAAAATATAAAAAAATTGAAATTTATTAATATTTAAAAATTCACATTATATAAATGGGCGGGCTTGGGCTGAGACTGAGATTACAAAAAGCTTGGGTCAGGCTTGGGCTTTACTTGTCATCCCTGTGACGGGCCCGGGCCGGGACTAGGCCTTTGTCATGGGTTCAGGCTTGGGCTCGGGCCAAGGGGTACCTGGGCCTAGCCGGCTCATTGCCATCTCTATTTGGTAAACATATTTGAAAAGTGATTATGCAAGAAGTAGGTTATGAAATAATCCATTTTATTAAAGAATTTCAAAAGTAGGTTTAGTAACATTTGGAATTCAAAAGCTGCTTATGAAAATATAATTACATAAATACCCTTGTCATAATATTCAAATTTAAATTCTTTTAAAAAAATTAGGAAGGAATAAATAAATAAAAAATATAATTATAAGTACTGGAATCTGGCTAGTAGTAGGGGTGTTAGGTTTCAGGTACCCTGCATTTTTTAAAGAAACCGGAACCGGAATCGACGGTTCCTTGAAATTTGGAACCGGAATCAGAACTGATGGTTCCGGTTCCTAGATACCTAGAACCGGAACCTGTAACAATGGTTTCGGTTCTGGGTACCCTGTAAAATTCACGACCCCCCAAAAGTTTTTAAAATGGTAAAAAAACCCTTAAAAGCTTACAAATACCCCCCACCTGGAACTTGTTAACAAAAATAAAATTACAAATTATAAATTCAAAATAAATAAAATTGCAAATTATAAATTCAAAATTACAAACTCCATTACTTTGTAAAGATAGATTCTCAAAAGTCAAACCAACTTACTTTAAATGTTATGAAATATAAATATAAATGTATTCATGTTACTTTTTCTACGAAAGTTTTTATTAACCCCCTACTATTTAATTTTATTTTATATTAGTCTTGGTTCCTGGTTCCTAACTATAAGAACCGGAAGCGGAATCGCACAATAACGGTTCCAAAAATTTGGAACTGGAACCTACCCGTTGACGGCCGGTTCCAGGTAGGAACCGGAACCAAACCCCAGGTACCTGCAGGTTCCGGTTCCAATCGGTTCTTTTGAACACCCCTAGCTGGCAGAGTCGCTTTAAAGAAGGCAATCGTAGTCAAGAGCCATAAAAGACATCCTTAGCGTTTGCGTTTGTTTCCGAAATTGATTAAACTAAGGCTTTAGCGCTTTACGTGAATCTGTCGCCCTTGCTTCTGCATCCTTCACCCTTGGCCAGACTGAAGTAATCTCCTACGGATGGATACTCAATTCATAAACTGAATTTCATGGTTGAATCAATGGTATTGGATTTATGCTTCGAATAAGGAAAGACATTGAGTAAGCACGACCCAAAGGTTCTTTTTGAAGTGGTCATCGTCGGCTAAGAGACTTTCTGAACTCACCTATGTGGAAGCCTCCCTAAAAAAAAGAATGCAACTAGCTTCTTAGTCCAACCAACTGTACGTTATCAGCGAAAGATGAGAATCAGTCAATGTTAGCAACCCACTTAGAAACTGCTAGCTGAAGGGATTCTTGAGTTCAGTAACTGCACTAGCTACTATCTGGATTTAGTAAGAGTAGGGATAAAACTAGATTCATAGATCGGTCAGAGTCGTTAACGACTTCGCCTCCATCTTTGAGAATTGACACAATGACATTCCCTTCTCCTTACCTAAGCTTTAAGGGAACAGATAGAGGGACAAATTACTCAAAAGAAGCAGCCTTGATAGGATAGAATAAGACTCTCTGCGTAGCTACAGATAGGATAAAAGGTGTGAATGGAAGCGTAGTGTCGGTCTGGCTTCCTTCTTGGCTTTTTCCTATCAAGCTGAGGACTGATTGAGCTTAGTTACTGCCCTGTGGGTTACAAGGTTGGTTTGAAATCGAAGATTGAAGGAAAGGTGGGAATATGCCTTTAGCTAAGCTACTTAGGGTCTTTTCTGTACCCATGACCTGATCCCGTTGATTAGTGATCAGGACGATACGATTGGTTGTAAGACTTGGTTAGAACACGAGGTTTAGCTGAATATTAGTTATTAGTTTTTGAATTGGAATGCCATCGTGCTTGAGTGTGTGAATTCCCTTCAAGACAAGAAGAGGAGCTTTAGAGCGCCCAAAGGAGTAAAGATCAACTATCATATTCCCATCTTTTGATGCTTAGTTGCCCTTCCGCAACCTGTTTTGAAACCTATATGCCACAAGTTTCCTAATCTCATGAATAGGTTTAGCTCCTTCACCAATCCAATCATGATTTACAAGGTCAAGAGATTACGGAATTCTCTACCAGTGCTTGAGATTGAGTGAAATGGGGTACTGGCTTGAAACTCAAAATGCGAACACGAGTTTCCCCATTATCTGTTGCTCGTTTCCATTGGAAGAAAGAAGGCCAAGGCACTGCCATTAAGATGAAAGAGTAGGAACGAAACTTCCATTCCACTGCGTTGAACCTTCAACCAAGCTGATTGGACTGAAGCAAAAGATCAATCACCGAGCCGGGCATTGCTTCTTGCTTAGTCTTATTCTGATTATGGACCTATGACAACTCAACCAGGGCTTCTGCTTCCCGCTCCTCCTAAATAAGAACTAGAAGGCACCCCTTATCGCCCCATGGCATCTGGTTAGGACACACAGTGCATTCTATTCCAAAATAGTGGACTCTGTAATAGCATTATGCCTTTTCGAAGACAGAGCACTTGTGTCACAGATGCTATATCCGCAAGGATTCCAAGTGTTCTAATTCATCTCGTTACAGCCACACTAAACATGACTGCTTGTTGTATACTCCTGCTACTCCGACCTACGCTTCTCACATCATTAAACAAACTCCGATTGACTTGATTCTAGTGGTGTTTGAAAGATAAGAGATAGCGCTATAACTTTTATGTTTCGGTCGTGATCCAGTTCAATCTGGAAGATGGTTAAAAATTGATTCGAAAGTTACGTCTATGCATAGAAGACAAGCAGACGCGAGTTCTGGAACATGCCTCAGTGTTGCTATGATAACTTGAGCTAAAGACCTCATATTTGGATGATTCTTGGACCATTAGAAATATGATTCAAATAGATACAATTAATATGTTTATGGCTTGGTCAGATTCAGAAGTTTTCATGCTAAAAAGTGGAAGTCTTTTGGCGTACAATTTTCCAGTAGCAGCTGTTAAGGAGAAATGGACAGAAAACGGAAACTTAGCCTAGCTACCATAAATTCTTCAGAATGAACTGGGAGCTTTTCCACATATTTTTGTAAAGCTTTGGAAGTCTAATGTACCTAGAATTTTACGGTTCGTTATTCCAAGATTTCTAGAGGAAGATATTCTTGTTTTAGTACCAAAGGGTCAGACATAGGAATCCTAATTCTATAGGGACTCTACTTAAGATTAATGCAAATTTTATTCTCCTATTTTGTATAGGATTTTTCCCATTACTTTCCCACAACCGTAGCACTATACAAGGATGTCTTTAGGTATTTTTTTGGGCAGACAAAAACTTTGAGGGAGGCAAGGAGAAGAGACATCAACTTGGAAAGAATTGGAGGCAGGAAGAAGAGATCTACCTAGGGTTTCATCTTTTTCTCTTGTACTTCATGTTTTTGAAGGAGTAGAGGTTTGTTTTCCTTATGATCATGTGTAACTAATTTATTTTCTAGGGATCCGATGTAACCTAACATGAAGGTTTTATGCTTTGATTAATTTTATTGTTCTATTCATTCAATATATTTCTAGTTTCATTAATTGCACTTAATTCGATCTTGATGTTTTATATGAAATAAGTATGGTAAACATCATATGCTAACTTTGAAATACAAAACAATTGATTATTTGAGACAAGGTAAGGTAAACATCATATGCAAACCTTGAATAGCTCTTTTGAATGATTGGATTGTGTTGAGGCAAACATCAAGCTAGGTACAATTTGGTTCATATTTTGAGTACTTCTTGTTCTTAATGGGTTCTTGATTGTTAGACTTTACTAAACATCCTACTGAGTTTAATGGTTAAGAATACTTGGTTAAACTCGAACATCAAACGGTAATATCATAATGATGGAAGGCTGAACCCTAGAAATTGGATTGAGATGACAATAAATTAGTTATTAGCAGAGAATCAGATTGTTATGGTGAAATCGGATACCTAGATTTTTCTTGTGCTGGTTTTCAGTTAAATTTTAATTTTTTTTATTAAATTCAGTTGGTTAAGAATTTATTTTGCTTCCTTAGTAATTAGTTTATTTTATTTGTTTAATTAAGGCATAGTATATTAGGATTAATTGAGTGCTTACAAATCTCTGTGGGATCGACCCCTTGCTTTTGCACACTAGACTAGGATAGCGATTTGTGCACTTGCAAGGTATTAAAATTGTTCATCAACTTTTTGGCACCGTTGTTGGGGGTAACGTGTGCTTTAATTTTTATTGTTTTTGTTATTTAATTTAAATTTTTTTTTTTTGTCTGGAGCTTCTTTTTGTTTTTATTTCTTTTGGTGTGTTAGTTCTTGAATGCAAGGACGTCGATCATTAGACAAAGAATTATTTCCTTATATTGACAGAGTGGACTTAATCGGTTAGAAGAAGAAGGAAACTGACATTTTTGCAAAGTCCTCAGAATCAAGTTCTAAATCTGAATTAGAGAAAATGGCTGAATTACCATGTCCTATGAAGGAGTACACACGTCCTACTATAGGAAAGTCGCCATCCTGCATAGTCTTGAATGCTGCAGCAAGGAATTATGAGTTGAAGAACGTTCATTTTCAGATGCTTCCTTCATTTCATGGAATAGCCATAGAGGACCCTTTAATTTTCATTCGTGATTTTTACTCAACCGTTCAAACTTTTCCTTTGTAGAGTTTGTCTGAAGATCAATTGCGGATGAGATGCTTTCCATATACGCTGAAGGATGCAACGAAGAAATGGTTCATTTCTTTGACCCCAGCTTCACTTACCACCTAGGGTGCAGTCTACAATAAATTTATAGGTAAATTCTATTCTCATGTGAAGACTGCTGAATTGAGAGGTAAGATTGCTACCTTTACGCAAATAGAAGGTGAGTCATTCCATGAGGCTTGGGAACGTTTTAAATTGCTTTTAGTCCAATGTCCCCACCATAGATACCCTTTAGAATTGTTAAATCAATTTTTCTACGATGGATTTACACAGGCTTGCCAAGCCATAGTTGATAATGTTGAAGGTGGTGCCATGGGAGAAAAGACTTCACAAAAGACATACGAGTTGTATGAAATGCTTGGAGCCAATTTGTAGTAGAAAAGTATTAGAGGAAGATCAAAAGGGATGTATGAAGTAAATACTAACACTGAATTGGCGATGCAAGTTTTAGAGTTGACCAAGCAGATGAAGACCATGTGCAACATGATGATAGAACAAGGGCAAAATAGTTCCAACGAGGTATGTGCTATTTGTAATAATCTTGGACATGCAACTAACATTTGTCCTTCTAGTGAAAATTTTCCAGAGTTTGTAGAACATGCTAATGTGATGAATTCCTACAACCAAAGGCCTAATAATCCTTTTTCAAACACTTATAATCCTGGTTGGAGGAATTATCCCAATTTTGCTTGGAGAAACAATCAGCAACACACAAGCTCTGGCAATAACAATCAACAAAGGAAACCTTCATTGGAGGAGACATTGGATAACTTTATTCAAGTGTCTCAAAAGAACAATCAAAACTCGAACAAAGATACCAACAATAAGAGGCATCCATCAGGAAGTTAGAGGTTCAAATAGGACAAATAGCAGAGGCAGTGCAAGGACATGTACTTGAAAAATCACCAAGCAAACCTGAGCAAGCGAAGGCAGTCACAACTCTAAGGAGTGGTAAGTTAATTAATAAGGAGATTAATTCTAAAACTAATGAACCCTTAATTGATCATGCAGGGAAAGATAAAGTTGAGGAGAAGCTATCGAGTGCACCCATTCAGAGTGAAAATATTGACTCTACATATGTTCCACCCAAGCCTTATGTTCCACATGTGCCTTTTCCAAGTCGATTGAATAAAAGCAAATGGGATAAGTCATTTTCTAATATTTATGATATTTTGTCTAAAGTTAATGTTAACTTACCCTTGCTTGATATGATTAGGAACATGCCTGCTTATGCTAATTTTTTCAAGGAGCTGAACACTCGAAAGCATAAGTATGAGCCTAATGAGAAGGTGATTGTTTCTGAGACAGTGAGTGTAGTGCTTCAATGCAAATTGCCACCCAAATTGAAGGATCTTGGGAGTTTTATTATCAACATCACTGTTGGTAATAAACAAAAGGAAAGAGCAATGTTGGACCTAGGTGCAAGTATCAACCTGATGGCATTCTCAATCTATAAGCAGTGTGATTGGGAGAGCTAAAGCCTACAATAATGACGTTGCTATTAGCCCACCGTTCAGTAAAGTATCCAAGAGGTATTGTTGAGGATATTTTAGTTCAAGTTGATAAACTCATTGTGCCTGTAGATTTTGTGGTTTTAGATATGGAGATGATGTCAAACCTTAGTAGTGAGTTGTCGATTCTGCTTGGAACTCTTTTCATAGCCACAACAATGACAATCATCAATGTGCAGAATGGAAAACTAAAGATGACACTTCTCGATCAAACCGTCAAATTTTCAGTTTTCAAGTCTTTATCATTACCTTCAGAAACTAATGATTGTTTTCTTGTAGATTCTTTGGATTCTATTATTTTTTCAAGTTTTCTACAGGGAGAGATGGAAGATAAATTGGAGTTGGCTTTGACAGTAGAAGATGATGAGCTTATTGATGAAGAGGCTAAGCAGTACTTAGAGGTGTTGGATAGCATAATTTCTGAGATGTCTGATGAAAAATTAAGGATGGCTATAGAACAAGTAGATGCTAAGCTAGTTTCTTCCATAGAATCGCCACTTGAGCTTGAGTTGAAGCCATTACCACCTACCTTTAAGTATGCATATTTAGGAGAAAATCAAACTCTTCTAGTGACTATAGCTTCAGAGCTTACCTTAGAGAAAGTAGAAAAATTACTTAGCGTGTTGAGTGAGCATAGAGCAAACATAGGTTAGACAATAGCTGATATCAAGGGAATTAGCCCTACCATGTGCATGCATAGGATTTTGTTAGAGGAGGAAGCAAAACCTTCGAGGGAGACTTAGATGAGATTGAATCCACATCTGAAAGAGGTGGCTAGAGCTGATGTGTTGAAATTACTTGACGCTGGGATTATTTATCCTATTTCCTATAGTAAGTGGGTGAGTCCAGTCCAGTCCATGCGGTACCTAAAATGTTTGGCATTACAGTGGTAAGAAATTCTGATAGTGAGTTAGTGCCAATTAGGGTGACTACAGGTTGGAGGGTTTGTATCGATTATAGGAAGTTGAACACCACCACAAAAAAGGATCATTTTCCTCTTCCTTTGATTGATCAAATGCTTGAGCGATTGGCTGGTCATTCTTACTATTATTTCCTTGATGGCTTTTCAAGTTACAATCAGATTCCTATTGCTCTAGAGGATCAAGAGAAGACGACATTCACATGTCCGTTCGGAACTTTTATAAATAGGAGGATGCCATTTCGATTATGCAACGCCCCAGCCACATTTCAAAGGTGTATGATGTCCATATTTTCTGATATGATTGAAAAATTTATTGAGGTATTTATGGATGATTTTTCTGTGTTTGGATCTTCATTTGATAACTACCTTAGTAATTTAATCTTAGTCTTGAAAAGATGCGTAGAAACAAACTTAACTTTGAGTTGGGAGAAAATCCATTTCATGGTAAAGCAAAGAACTGTTTTAGGACATGTAGTTTCTAGTAGAGGTATTGAAGTAGACAAGGCTAAAATTGATTTGATTGCTAAATTGCCGCCACCTACTTTTGTGAAAGGTGTGCGTAGTTTTTTTGGTCATGCGAGTTTCTATTGGCGATTTATAAAGGATTTTTCAAAAATTAGTAGGCCTTTGTGTAACCTCTTAGCTAAGCAACATTTGATTTCAATGATGAGTGCCTTAATGCTTTTAATACTTTGAAAGAAAAATTAACATCTACTCCTATTCTTATGTCACCTGATTGGTCGCTTTCGTTTGAGTTGATGTGTGATGCTTCTGACTATGTTTTAGGTGTAGTTTTGGGACAACGTGTAGGTAAGTTGCATCATGTTATTCATTATGCTAGTCGGACTTTAAATGATGCAAAAATAAATTACTCCACCACTGAGAAAGAATTTTTGGCTTTAGTGTTTGCTTTAGAGAAATTTCGTTCTTATTTGATAGGCTCTAAAGTAATTATTTATTCTGATCATGTTGCTTTGAAATATCTGTTGACTAAAAAGGATGCTAAGCCTAGGTTGATTAGATGGATATTATTATTGCAAGAATTTGATTTGATAATCAGGGATAAGAAGGGAAGCGAAAATGTCATGGTTGATCACTTGTCTCGTCTTGCGGAGACAATAGATCGTGAATAGCATATCAAGAAGGGGATTACCCCCTCAACGAAGCCATTCCTAATGAATAACTCTTTTCCATACACGGAAAAGAGCCCTGGTATGTTGATATTGTTAATTATCTTGCTAGTGGTATTATTAGACTTGATTTGACTTTTCAGGAAAAGAAGAGATTCTTATCCATCGTGAAGCATTATTTTTGGGATGACCCTTATTTGTTCAAGCACTGTTTGGATCACATAATAAGGCGTTGTGTTCCAGAAATTGGGCAATAGAGTGTTTTAAAGCACAGTCATGAGCTACATTGTGGAAGGCACTTCGGTGAAAGAAAATAGCACTTAAGGTATTTTAATCTGGTTTTTATTGGCCAACATTGTTTAAAGATGCTTATGTTATTTGTGCTAGGTGTGATAAGTGCCAAAGATCAGGCAATATAAGCAAGAGGAATGAGATGCCTCTCACCACTAATTTGGTGGTGGAATTGTTCGATGTATGGGGTATAGATTTCATGGGTCCCTTCCCGAATTCTTTTGGTTATACTTACATACTTGTTGTTGTAGATTATGTTTCTAAATGGATTGAGGCAATTGCCACAAAAACTAACGATAGTAAGGTTGTGCTTAGTTTTTTGAAGGATATGATTTTCACAAGGTATGGTACCCCTAGAGTTATTATTAGTGATGGGGTAGTCATTTTTGTAATAAGTCTTTTGCAGCTTTGTTGAAGAAGTACAATGTTACACATAAAGTGGCAACTCCTTATCATCCTCAAACTTCAGGGCAAGTGGAAGTGAGTTATAAGCAGATAAAGGCAATTCTTGAGAGGATGGTGAGCATGTCTAGGAAGGATTGGGCATTGAAATTGAACGATGCTTTGTGAGCTTACAGAACTATGTTTAAAACTCCAATTGGAATGAGTCCATATAGGCTAGTTTTTGGAAAGGAATGTCACCTACCGATGGAATTGGAGCACATAGCATATTGGGCAATTAAATGGTTAAATTTTGACTTGGATAAAGTTGGAGAAACGAGGAAGATGCAATTAATTGAGTTGGAGGAGCTTAGGAATGAAGCTTATGAGAATGAAAGAATCTACAAGAGATAACTAAACTCTACCATGACAAGGCGATACAATGCAAAGAATTCCAACCAGATATGAATGTATTGCTTTATGACTCATGTTTGTGTCTTTTTCCAGGAAAATTGAAGTCTCAGTGGCTAGGACAATTCAAAGTACATCAAGTGTTTCCTCATGGGGCAGTGGAGATAGAGAGTTTAAATAATGGAAGAAGATTCAAAGTGAATGGGCATCACTTGAAGCCATACTTAGAAAGCCTTCCTCCAATTGAAGTGGTGGACTACGTGAATATGAGGGATCCATAGATCGCACATTCTGTCTAGCTTAGACGTTAAATAAAGCGCTTCTTGGGAGGCAACCCAACTTTTTACTTTGAATTTTATGTTAATTTAATTTACTTATTATTTTCTTTTGTTTTTCAAAATTCTATAGTGTTTTCATTGTTAAATTTTTAGATGTAGTTTTTTTTTTTTTTTAAGTATGGTTGGATGAGTTAGAGTAGTGTAGTTCTTTGTATTTTATGGTTTATTCATTTTGTAGGAAAAGAGCTTTGCAACTCAGCTCAAAATATTTATGACGTGGCACAGCAATGAAGACTAAAAACAAAATTTGGGCAGCAACTTGATGTCGCGGCGTGATGAAAATGGTGTCGCGGTGCCACATAGATTTTGACGATGTCTCTAAGGGGGGTAACTTCTCTTTCCTTTGTTACTTTTCCTTTCTAATTGTTACATTGAGGACAATGTAGGTTTTAGGTTGGGGGTGGGGAAGTTCCCTTTTCCTGAATTTCTTAATTTTCGTGAATTTTCTTACTTTTTGTGAATTTATTATTTATTATTTTTTTCGTAATTTTCAGGAGATTTTCTTTGTTTTTATTTTATTTTTAATTGAGTGTGTTTCAATTTTTCTAGATTAATTCATATGTCAATGATAATAACATGATTGCAATGATATGTAACATTTAGAATAAGTCAAATTTTACTTTAATTTAGGAATAATTATGGATGTTGGTTTTGCTTAAGTTTTAGACTCTCATGAATGTGGTTTGTAAGGTGGGTTAGTTCTAGCATTTAGGGATGTTTTGTGTGTGACTATCCTATGACATTTTTTAGATCCCCAAACTCTAGAACCTATCTGATTACCACTTGAGGCGAAATCCTAGACGACACATGACTTAAGAAATGATTTAGGCCCTCTTTGGACCGTTTGTGCCTTTCAAGCCAACCCTATATTTTATTATCCCTTGTTACCCCTTTGTGCCAATATTGAATTTATATTAGCCTTGATTTTCTTTCATTTAGCCCATAATAACATAACCTTTTAACCCTTAAACACACTACTCTACCCATGATTTTTAAGAGGATTTAATATAAATTTATGCAAAGTGAGAGTGTTTGTGTGTGGCTTAGAGTGTTTTCTCACAATTTTGAAGGGTATTCAAAAGAATGGGTTGGAGGTTGTGGTGTATTGTGAATATCAAGGTAATGAGGGGAATGATTGTAATATCCATGCTTCCTAACTATTGTTAAAAAAAAAAAATCTGAAAGAAAAAAGAGAAAGAAGAAGAAAAGAAAAAAAAAAAAAAAATGAATGAATCAAGGAAGTATGGAAAGTGGGTAAATGCAAATGTGGTTGGGAAGAGAAATGCAACAAAGGTTCGGGAAGTTCAGAGAAAATGTAATATGTTTTGAGCGATTATGTTGCAATAAATAAGTAAGATTAATCCTTTTATTTTGTTTGATTCCTTTCCATTCTTTTATAACCCCATACCCTAGCCTAAATATTACGAGCTCAATAAAGTCCTAATGATCTAAAGTTGTGTGATTATTCTACATTAGTGGAGAGTGGTTTGAAAA